GTTATCCATCCATCGCGGATTCATCCATCTATCCATCCTGGATCCAGCCATCTATCCATCCATCCATCCATCCATCCATCCATCCATCCCGTATTCATCTATCCATCCTGTGTTTATCCATACATCCATCCATTCTGTATCCATACAGCCATTCTGTATTGATCCATCCATCCATTCTTTTAGCCAACCATCCATTCATCCTCTATTCATTCATCCATTTAGCTATCCATCCATCCAGCCATCCATCCATCCATCTGCCAATCCGATCCGCATCCATTTCATCCTCCTATCCATTCCGTATCCATCTATCCATCTAATTCCCATGGCTACTCCTTTCTCTTTCCCCAACTGTTGCTTTGTTTGAACAAGGCTGTAGAAAAGAAAGTCTTAGGAGGACTCTGATTATTAGGGGTATTGCTCCAGGCTTTCTTGACTTATTTTTTGCGCAAATACTGACACAGTATATTGGCAGACCGTGAGATGGAAAGTCTTTAGCCCTTAGGTGTGGCGTCACAGTACCAAGGCACTTCATTTATGAATGTAGGGCGATAAATTAACACTGCGCTCATAAGTTACAGACTTCATTATTAACCCTCCACTTGTCTTGCTTTCCTTAACCTTAGATTGGTGTAAAATGGAGCTGCTGGTTTAGAACAGTTGGAGACAAAGAGAGAGGGCAGTGAATCATGACTCTGGATGAGGCGAAAAAGTGAATCGGTTCTTCCTCCTCTATATGGCGGTTTTTTTGAAGAAATAGGGAAGAAATGTGTACAAGCTTTGACGAAATCAGCTTAATTACAAGCTAGGAAGCGAAGTAGATGACAGGAAAGGAATTCATCGCTTCTTAAAATCCCCCCTCCGCCTCAACCTCTCCATCCGCCCAACGCCTCGCTCTATCTTGAGCCCATAATTTTCATTTGGCAATCCTTTTTAACACGACGATTAGGGAGGACTTCTAGGTGGATTGGACTGAAGTACTTCTCTGCTCTTGATGGCAAAAAAGACGGCGGATTCTGGCCACTGTAAACTACTTGGTACGAAAATCCGTCACCCTTCATCAGTGTTGCGGATCCACTAACATGCAATTAGAAATGCCAGAATGCATCCATTCATCCATCCATCCTTTGATCTATGTAGATGGTGGCAGAATATAACTTCAATCCTACGATTTCGCCATTCATTACGCATTGATTTTGCCTCAAATCTTATGTGCGTCCTACACTACTTAATTACTCGGCGAAGAAATAAGTAGGCTAGGATAGTGAGTAAAACTTTGACCGTCTGAAGAAATATTCTTGTAGGCACAAACGCTCCATAAAACTGCACTTCTGTGGAAACCAAAAGAAAATCTAGCCCTGAAAACCTCTGTTTCTGTCACTCCCATTTGTCGCCTAATTTTCTCTTCAACTTCTCACATGATGATCGCGTGATTGTGAACTGCTCCTTACAGGAGACAGTGATAAACACAGTTTGGGGAAATATCTCCAGAAGAAGACAGAGATAAGGATAAGTCGATGGCCTGCATCCGTTCTCTCCCTTACTTCTCGTCTTCTTCTCCAACATAGTATACGGCATAGGGCTCTCAAGGGGGCGTACTTTCTTGTCCCGTGATGATGACTCCTGCCTGTTTCTTGAGGAGGATTTTTCCCTGTTCTGCTCCCTCACCTCTTCTACGTGCCATACAACAGCTTTTTGCCTCACCGTTGTCACAAAGGTAAACTCGCATAGACCTCACCTCACATCCGACCGGTGGTTAAAAATGGCCCTGGAAGAAAAAAGCACTGCAGAGCAGGGGGGTAGCATTGATAATTCACTTTTTTTCCTGCTCTTCTCCTTCCAGGTGCACCCGGTTTCCAGCCAAATGCCTGGGGATGTCCACAATCTCATGCTACCTGCTCCGTGGATTCAATTGGCCATCTGAGGAAGGAAAAATACTACCAGGCTTCTTACTACGATGAGACTGCGAGGTCATTTTCAGCTGCCGCTGCAGTAGCAGCTGTAGCCGCTGCTGCCTACATCAGTTCTTCCAATGCGGTCGGCTCTTCAGGCTACTTTCCTGATGCCAAGTCCCTCAAATATGAGCCTACGATGGAGGGTGAAAAGGCTGTCACCAGCCTACAGGAGGGTAATAGGTAAGGCAATAACACAGTCTGTCTACCTGACAAGTTGGCTTCCACATGTCTAACTACTTGTAGGTGGATGTTGTCTAGATGCTGACAGACTTCTAAAAGAAAAAAAAACTGAAATCACTTGTCTGATAGAGGAGGATATGAAAGTTCACCATATCAAACCTGTTACCTCACCAATTAAAAGGCTGTATCACACTATTGTCAACTTCTCTCCTTTGGCACGACTCATTTGTTTAAAATAATCACAGCTAGTGAGAAGCTAAATCAGAACAAATATTTTAAGTTCAATCGATTTCTTGCAGATTTTTAATGGACGCTTAACGCAATTAAGTAGCAGGCAGCGCTCCGCTTAGAGCAGTATTTTTTACTGTATAATATACCCAGCGAGAACAATGGACTAGGTCAATTTCAGGGTCTTAGACACATCTGAATAATCACAGGTAAAAACGAGATGTTTACATCGTCAGTAAAGTTTACTCTGCCGTGAGAGCAAGCACCGACTTGTCAGTTTGACCGACCATGAAGTTTTGACTGTTGGGGAGGTGGGCCATTAGTTCAACCCATGTGATTCTATGAGAAAAACACACTTTGATAAAGAGATAGCCTAATTAAGAGTTCTGTTAAAACACCCATTTGGTAAGCTAAAATCCTCAGAAATAAGTGGTATGTGTGGCCTGAGCGGCGTTTGTTATCTGATAGAAGTAAATGAGTAGGGAGGGCGAAAAATGCTGCCTTCTCCCTACCAGTAGACTATGCGACTTCTTTTAGTCTTAACGGCTGACTCGCCACACCACAGCGTTGTATTTGCAAACACAAATCCATCTCCTGATTGAAAACAAAAACTTGTCCCTTTATTCTGTAAAGAAAAGTTATCAAAGTGACTGTCTAGCCAGTGGGATTCCCACTTTAAAGTGGTATTTGAGTGGTGAAGAGGGAAGTTTGTTGTGCTTTTTTATAAAGTGGGTTAAGGCCGGTTATGAAGTGGTAACGCCAAGGTGCCAGACTGAGATTAATACCCCAGAAAACCTCTTTAAATGTCATTCGTTTTTCTCTTCGGCTCAAGTGCTCTAGTGCGCCGTGGCACTACTGCAAAATAGGAGGACGTTTTCTGCCAGCATGATCAAATAAATCCAACTTTTTATTTAAAAATCATTGATTACTTGGTTTTAAAATAACACGAGATGCTCTATCTAGGCCTCTTCATCATAAAAACCCAACTTTCAAGTAACTAGAAGATGCTGGCATGTGGTTTTGTGGTATGGCTCAAAACAATAACTTGTTGTAACTCGTGAGGAGGACCCGTCAAATGCATGGCACAAGCATAGATGGATATGCGTCAGCCTATTTTGCACAACAGCCTCCTCCTCCTCCCCCTCCTCCCCCTCCCTCCTCCTCCTCCTCCTCCTCACTACACTACACTACGCGTCCCCATTGATAATGTTTCCGTATTGACCTGCTGATAGGAAAATTCGGCAATTTTCAACACGACTAATGGTGAAGCGATCGGATTGTACCTGCATCAACTGGAAGGGTAATGACGGAAGAAAATCTAGTAGCTGCCCTACGCTATGTATCGACGACAATCAGCTTCCTAGACTTCATCACCTCTTCATTCACCTTGTAAAAGCATAACACTGATGGGTGCATAAAAAATGCTTCGGTATTCCATCTAGAATGCAGGAGAGACACTTTCACCCACATCCCCTGTATTCAGCAGATTATATTTTTTCATGTGATGGTGGTCACCTTTTCTCGACAAATGCATTGCACACTCGCACGATTACATAAGAAGCAGAATAGATAATTGGGAAACAAAGACAAGGTGATATAAAGGAGGTTGACTAGAAGTATATTTATTTCTAGCTTCTTGAGACAAAGCGTTACGGGGAGGTAGGATTCGCACCAAGTTTTTGTTCCGTTAGTTTGATAGAAATAATAGATTAGAACAGTGATGATTTCAATAAATGAGCCGCTTTCCAGAAACTGTCTATAATTACCCAAGTTCCATCATACAAACTGTTAAAAATTTGTAAGGCTATATTACTCAGATATTTGGTTTAATATAGCCTACCAGACAGGGTTTGCACTTAGAAATAAAAGCATATTTCCACACCGTGTCCCATTTATGCAAAATTAAATGATTTTTGACTCGATTTACTAAACTTGATCGAATACGAAGTTCCCAGACCTGCATTTGCTTTCGTAGAAACCTGGGATTTGATTTGAAAATCTGGCGAGGTCGCAAATGTGTTGCTGTTTGGTTTACTAAAAATACTTTGTAATAAACTGGAATAAATGAAGTAAGACCTCTAGGAAACACCTACAGTATAAAACATTTTTTCCGACCTTGCTGTTTCATTGCCTTTGAAACCCACCACTATTCCCTAAAGTTTTTAAAATTGGCAAATTCTTAGAATAAAAAATAAATGGCTTTTTGTATAATTCAGAATGTTTTTCGGAAGCATTTAGCCCTTATTTACTCTCTTTTTTGATGCGCGATCCCTCATTTAAATCCTGTCAGACGTTAAGCGTTTGATATCGGCTAGTAATAAAATATTGCGAAAAGAGTTGCCATGAGCTATTCGTCATAGTAACTCACTAACAGATTTTGACAACAGAGATCAGGCGAGACAGTGTGTGCGTCTGTGTGTCAAAACATGATAATTCATAAGCTGCCAAATTTCTGCATACGCTCTGTGTTGCTCTCTCTCTCTCAATCATCATCTCCCCACTTTGATTGGCTCATGCAGAAGAGGATACACAATGTGATGATGATTGCATAGGCGCCTGACTTTGAAGTGAGTTTTATACATTTCGGTAATCCTGATAGATAGCCCCCCCGCGCTCAAGCAGTACACCTTCATGTCTTTCAGCATCTACAAGACCGGATTTCCTGCTCCTAATGCAGAGCCCTTTGTTTGCACTGCAAAATCCATGAATCTTGTCACACCAACACCAGTGTCTCCTGCTCCTGAGGCTCATTCCAATCCTGTTCATTTTCTCTCCAACTTGACGGAAATTGCAAATGGCTCCAACAATAACAGTTCCTCCAAATTTCCGCCTTTTGTGAACGGTTCAAAAAATCACCGGTGCGGAAAGAGCTATTCACCACAGAATCAGTCTTGTGCCTTGGTCTCGACCATTTCCGATTCAATCACTTCAACTTCAACACCGGCTCGTAAGAGGGCCGATAAGTCGCCAGCTCACGTCAAGAAACCCCTGAATGCCTTTATGCTTTTCATGAAAGAGATGAGGGCCAAAGTTGTAGCTGAGTGCACCATGAAGGAGTCCGCTGCAATCAATCAAATTCTCGGCAGAAAATGGCATGCTCTACCGCACGAAGAGCAGGCGAAATTCTACGAAATGGCAAGGAAAGAGAAGGAACTTCATCAACGGATGTATCCAGGATGGTCGGCGAGAGATAATTACGCATATCATGCAAAACGACGGAAAAATAGATGCCGATACCGGGCGTACAATAACCCTGAGACACATGGAGAACAACAGAAGCCGATGAAGGAAGTCACATCACCCCTTAGCAGTCAGGAACTTGTGTTGAAAGAGCAGCCGACTATTAATCTACCGAGTACAGGATCCATTGGACTTGGTGGTATGCTAAGAGGCTCTGCGTTCTACCGAAGTCCATTTGCTATCGGTCAAATGGCTTACGGTGGTAGGGGTGCAGGTGAACAGTGCTGCAATCCGGCTGAAGACAACATGGCTTATTTCAGTTCCATAGATCGACACCAACAACAGAGTTACAAAGACCAACAACGGCAACAGCAGCAGCAGGCTCAACAGTCCTTTCAGCTGAATATCCAACAGACGGAGTCGAGTTGTGGTGAGCTTCTGTTAGGATTAACTGTTTTGAACAGAATAAATAAACGAATTTTATGTGATGTCAACCACGGCTAATTGAAAGGTATGGATCAACATATTGCCTTTTTTCCAGACCTCTTAGTAATTTGACTTAGCTGCAAAAAGTAAATTACCATTGTCTAAGCTTTTAGTGGAAAACTTTACGCTCTCTGACGACCTCTAAATCAACTTTCACTTTCCGGTTAGACATTTTTTCTCATTTTAGGTGTGAAGGAGGAGTGTAAGACACGTCAACCTTGGTCCTTCTCCGAATGTATTGACCCCATTTCCACAGCCAACAATTTTAACCCCTCAACTAGCTGGCTTCTCAGCAATAATCAGCATCCTCAATCAGCCTACGACACTATTTCATCAGCCTCCACATCACCATGGTCACAAACTCATCAACAACTTGAAGATCGCTTTCAGCGTCAAATTTCCCAACCAAATTGCACAGGTCATCCCGGCCACTACTCGACGCCTCCCTATAACCCCAATGGAAGCTTTGATTACCGATATGCTGAGCTAAATCCCACCTACATATCAGCGCACAAGGCACCACCAGTGACGTTAGAAAATGATCCGTCCTTGAAATCCACCCCTTCTTATGATTCCGCACCTTCAAAACTACCATTGTTCCATCCGGGGTATGAGGAGCCCAGATGTGGGGATGGCACTTCTACTGAGACCATTTATGGATTTCCTTCATCTTGATGTCTAAATTTCTCGCTAAATCCCAGCCGCATTTCTATGTATTCTCATTTAAAGAAATATTTTTTTCAATACCCTATAACAAAGGCGTAATGGGAAAACGCCAACCTGGAAGCCACTCAAGAATCCACAGGTAGGATTTAAATGTTAGGGCTGACATGACCTTGGATTAATTAGCCTCGGCAAAGTCTATTGTAATGAAAAATAAAATGTCAACCAAATGCCAAATTTCAAACACTGTACAAGGTGAGCTATGTAGTTTGTGCGTAATAAAGTGACACTCATGCTTGGCAGGTCATTTAATTAGCCGCAAGTATATTTAAAAAACAACCCAACATTTGTTTTGTTTAAAAATAAATCCTTAGGGGCTTCAATAATTGCCACTTTAATTTAAGGGAGGTGTTTGGAAATTAAAGGTCAGACTTTAATTCACTTGCTGTAATTTTAGCAGTTCGCATAACTCTTTGTTACCGTGATTTTAGCCGCTCTCGTTAGATTAGTTTTTACTGAAAGAAATTTAAACAGATGAAACATGAGTCATGTAAGCTACTTGGTTATAAAATTGCTTGCAAATTTCCTCAAATTAGGTTGGGAATGAAAGTGACACGTGCGCAATGTCTTATCCTAAAAACTTGAAACGTAAAATTGCAAAATGGCATTTATTAAATGTGGTAATAGGGATGGCAAACAGATACAACTCTAAATGAGCGCCTAAATCACCATCTTTCTTCTCTTAATAAATTATTCAGTAAATAACGCCGCAATGTTACATGCAAATCAAAATGCTCGGAATCATTTTGAAATAATGGCTTTTATGTTTTCCTGTCGTTTCTTTTGGAACGGTGTTTCGATTGAGACCTCATACAGAAACTGATAGAACTCAAAAAGGGCTTTTTCGTAGGAATCCGTTAAAAAATTCCTCTGACTTCTTCCTGAGGACATGATGGATTGACATCTTTTGGGAAGATGACTGTAAAATTAAACGAAACGATATCACTTCAACTTGTTAACCGACTTGTGGTGATTAAAAAGATCACAAGGTTAAAACAGATACCGTGTTGTCTCGGGTGCTTACTGTTGTCTCCTCCTCTCTTTTGGCCGCCACTACTACTATTTTATTAGCGGCAGTGTAAGACAAAATTCATCAGGATGGCGAAGTTTTGTGAAGTTTGATAGTCAGTCTGGATGATGTACTTCAGAAACCCTGTTTCTCATATTACTTACCTTTAGTAGGAGCATTTATGTGAAGACAGCATGAAAAAAGGGATTGTCTCACCATGGAAGTTATTAAAATCATGTCATCTATTTGTTAAATCCCCATCTCAACAGATTATTGAATGCTCCGCAGAACTTCATCTTCGCGAGATTGCCAGAAGTTAATGCAGTTTTGGTCGCTCTTCTGTTGTGCGTCCTCGTAGATTTGGTCACTTACTAGGGTCATGTAGGCTTAACATTCTGACCAACGTGGCATCCAGTATGAAGGTGTGATAAGACGTACCAGCATAAATGTTTATCATTAATGTTCGGAAGATCTTGGAGGTAGCAGGCCTGAACAAGGCTTGCTGATGTCCAAAAAGTGGCCTCATCAAAGGGATCGATAAGCCTGCATAAGGCGCTATAAGGAGTAATCAAATAAGTGGATACTATTTCGTATAACATAGATAAACTAAATCCACTTTTTCTTGAAAAGCTATGGGGAGACCTGCCCTCCATTTTGCCCTTAAGTCCTAACTCTCTGGTCTGCTTCTCATGTGATCGCGTGTTGACATAGTGCCACCTCCAAAAGGAGGTGGCTATTACCATTTAGAGTAGTGTCATCAGGAGAATGAGGATAAGAATGAGAGTCTTATCCTACCTATCCACCTACCTCCTTGCGTCTCCATCCCTTTTCTCTTCTCATATATATTATAAGGTCTTCTGATGGGAAAGTTTTGCGGTGAGGTGGGTTACGAGGTAGGGAAATGACTATAGGCAGAGTACTTTCTTCCAGCTCATCGTCTATTCCTAACTTTCCCAGGAGGAGGAGGAGGAGGAGGAGGAGGAATCTTGCTCGGTTTAAGCAAGAAGTCTCACCGACGTCTAGGTTTTGGGACAAAGGTAGGTGATATTTGCTGTTAGATTTCCTTGTTTTTCGTTTAATTTGTTAATAACTGGAATTTTTCTTCTTCTAAATTAAAAAATTCATAATTCTTAATACTTCTGCTTCATGGAACAGTAAACTACCGTGCCATTCATGCGAGATAATCCTTTTTTAATTAGGTTCCTCACAAAGTGGTTGATCAAAGTAGAGCGTGTGATGTCGTTCCGCCTTTTAATTAATTGAGGGGGAAACAGGGAAAACCATTTTATAAGAGTTGACGACAAAATCATTTTAACAGCACCTTGTCTGTTCTTGGAGAAGCGCGAATAATTTGAGGGTAGAGCATAATCCCCGGTAAGTGCCACACGTCAGAGACGCCGAGTCTTACGTCTTCATTTGACATAACGACAGTCTCCAATATTTACACAAGCAAACATGAAAAACGGTTCACCTACAGGAATTGCCTCTCTACTTGAGGTGGTTTGTGGTCACTGATGAGGGTGATACACTTATGTGAGCTTTCTGGTGCAGTAACTCCATGCATGAGGGTGTTGGTGTTTCTTTGCAAAAGAAAGGAAAGTACAATTCGAAGTCTCTTATGCTCTCGCAATTTAACACCAGGGAAGCAGCAATCAGCTTTATCACTGCAAACTTTAAGGTTTTTTTCTGACTATGCGGAAGCAAAGTACTCCTAGGAGGGAATGACTTTAAGGGGAGAACGACAGCCCGATTACTTCTACACCGTCCACCATGAGCAAATTTAACCTGTCTTTAAAATAGACTTCATCAATACTTTTCAGAGTAACAGTTACCACCTCTTTATTTCCTTTGGGTAATCACATAATTGAAGGCAAGAACAGGAGTGATACAAAAAAGGAGGCATAAGGAGTTGGTACTTCTGGGGTCCTTAAGAGCTGGTGCCTCGTCGGGTAGTGAAGAGTGACCCATTGAGACTTTAGGGATTTCGAAAAATAAAATATTTTAGGGATTCTCCCATAGTCATCTAACTTAGGTTGAAAAAAATTAATTATGTTTTATTTGTTTCCAGTGGGTGCCACATCGTCATGAAAGCAATCAGGTGCGATGCACTAATGCTCACGGGAAATAGCAGTAGCACAATAAAAGGAATTAAACAATTTTTCTTTCATCGGTGCAGAGTGGAAGGATATTGACCCTTCATTCACCTAAATAAAAAACAATGGATTTATATAGGGTGACAGATCGGCGTCGCAAACAGAAAAGGACCTTGAAGAATATTTCAATAAAAGCAGTAAAAAGAGTTTGGGACAAAACAGGCTGTTTTATTTGAGAACTTTCCATTTAATCTTTGTGGTATTTATCTATTCATACAAATATCAGGGTTTCATAACTTACCTCTAAAGAAAAAAAGAAGATTGTTTTTAAAATAAATAAAAAACTAAAGGTTGCTTGCTGAAATTAAAAAAATACCCGGCTATAAGACATGTTTCTTTATTACAAATTTAAGGTGCTCATGCATTAAAGACCAAGCTATGCCATTTAATCGAATATGGCACATTTAAAGCAATTCCAAAGTGAAATGTGTATTTTGCATGCCTTTAACATCCCGAGGCCTCTCTAAAAATGAGAGAAGACGTAATACCTGAGCTTAAAATGCACTTTGGAAGTGTAAAAGGTCTAAGTTGCATGGCCACCCCTTTGGCATCTTTATACCAGTCCCGTTAACAGCTCCATAACAAAATACTTTAAACAATCCACAATTAATATCACTTCAAATGTAAGTACCTCTCCCACAGAACACAGGACTGTGGTTTCTACCGGGGGCAGAGGCCTCTTTTAACCCTCTCTTTGGGGATGTTACAGAATCCCTCATTAGCAGTGTGTGCCCTTATTCCACCACAATTTTTCCTTATTTCACTCACTCTCACAACCTTCTTTAACGCCTATTGTATTTCTTGAAGACTAAAGTACTTACGATTCTAGGCTAATATGTACATTTTTGACAATCTATAGGGATGGGGCTAATGGTTTGGCCTGCAGGCCAGCCCACTCGGAGAAGGCACAATGACAGGCCACTGAAGTTGGAGCATTATCAAACACGATAACTGAGTAAACAACTAACGTATTGCACAACCCCTGCTCTTTTAAACGTTGACCTCCAGCGCTGCCCTAGGTCATTGTCTAGACTCACACATCACAACTTAATCCGTGCTCTAAAACACCAACGATCCAACCATGCCAATCATTGAGACTCCAAGCGACTGACAAGTCAGCTATTTGCAGTGCCACTTATCCATTCTGGCATTTTCACTGGATTTGGAGTCTCGTCCTGCATGGGAACTGTAGTGGAGAAGGGAAAATTCGCTCACCATCACACATGACCATTGCTATTCCTGGGATTGCTAGCCCAAATGCAGGGCCATGTAACAAGGGACGGGAATGATCGTAGTTTTACGGGAGTAAAGCAGCTACCCAAGGTGGACGCCATTTTTAGTACGCCTGTTAGGGCTTTTCACTGATTTGCCCATCCACAGCATGTATGCTGCTTTTGTACCGCAAAAATTATTAAACTGGCAGTGGAAATCAGGATAGGTGTCCTTTGGGATCAGATTTGCTCTTTACTATTGCCAACAAATGTTCTGACAAAAAACTTGCCTAAATAGGAAATAACATATAATGCTTAAGCAAAATGTTTCTATTCAACATGCGTTGAGCTTAGAGCTAATTAAGTGGTCTGGAGGCCACCCAATTCAGCCAAGTATCTCGTCACCAAACCTGAGAGTTAATAAATCAACCAATGTTTTATAGTTGTACCTTCGCTGCAAAACCGGACATCCAGTCCATTCCAGCAGTTCTACTATTTTCTGCATGTCAACAATACGTGTTTTGTCCGAAAGGCTAAAAATTCATGCTACCTGGCGGAGGTAGAAAGGCGGAGACCTAAGTGCTTGTAAAGTCAAGAATTACAAGTAAAACAAGGAATCAAGGGAAAACATGCCCAAAATATTATGAACAAATATAGTCCTCATGTTCAAGTTCCTGCACAAAGAAACTCAGAAAAGCACATATAGCGAAAAATTGGAGTACCAATATTTGTCAAAATAGTTCTTGATTTTACGAAAAGGATTGTTTTTTTTTCTAACATAAAGTTAAGGGAATACAAAACTTCGTGTTTTATCGAGAGTTCAGTAATTGTTGGATACCCATCGAACTGCCTGCAAGAATTACCATAAAAGACATGTGTTCATAACCAGGATGAAAAAAGCAGCACCAACTTTCGCTTTACGTATATTGGTGTTAAAAATCGTTATTGTTTGCAGATGCATTGTTACAGTAGTGTCAATATTAAATTTCAGCTCTGATTGGCTAGAGTGTCACGGTTCTTACTTGACGTAGCCCGCATTATCTCGGAATGACCAAAGGGTCCGTTCCTGTTCATACTCTGTTGAATTTTTGGTTTACGAGTGTGCTGAATCTAGCATGTTTTTTTTGCAAATTGCTTTCGTTTCCCTAGTAGCCTTATTTTCAGACGATATACGAATTTCTCACCACTACGACTCTGTTGGACACTTTATTAGCTTTGCTCAACCTGGGGTATGCAACCAGTGTTTAACTTTGCTTTCTATTTCTTTTTGTCAAGGATTATACTTCCAAAAAACGCTCCGCTTCCAGCTGAGCAGGTCATCTACGATCGCGAAAATAACACCAAAAAAGTGATTACTTATGAATCAGACGATGATGGTGAAACCTATAAGGAAACGCGAGAGTATACAATTCAGAAGGTTCGAGTTCCCTCAGCCGTTGCTAAACGCAAGGCTTGGAAAAAGTTTGGTGACGCTGCTAATGATCCACCCGGACCTAATCCTGCATACACCTATCCGGGTGAAATCGTTAATATTCAGTATTTGGGCAATAAGCTCGTGAGTTCAAACTTTCTTGTTTTTATCCCCTACTTTGTTCAGTCCTGCACCCTTTTTTCCAAATTTTTGCCGAAATATTTGTTCTCTAGTAAAGTTCTGAACTTTGTTTTTATTTTTTTCGCTTTAGTATGTGTTGAATTATTTATCAGGTCAAATCATCTAGTCACTTATGTCAACTCTTAGATTTAAGAACTCACGATAGCGTCGATCCTACAGCGTGCCCACAACAATTCGAGGGTGGTACTCACATATGTAGTTAGCTTTGTTAACACCAGCTGCTCAGTTCTTACTGAACGTATTCGTATTGTTAACCAAATACTTTTTAAAGCATTCTTCGTAGTAGCAAGAGGCTACTGCAGTTTGTCGCTTTCCACTTTTCCAATTTTATTTAACTCCAGCATTGATTAGGGTTCTCTTTCAACCCGCAATTTTTCTTATCCAAGCACGTCAAATCAAAGGAGCGTTATCTTGATGTTTTGAAATTTAATTTATTTCTCTTTCAACTTTAATTTGATTTCACTAATATGTATCCATTTCGGGTTTCCTTTATTAGACCAATTGCTCAAGGTAGTGGTGGATGCCCTCATAATGCTTACTGCATCTGCGATGACCTATTAAAAGCACTAGTTGTATATTTGCTTATTTTGATTTTTGTAAACGTCAACGTCATAAGTTGGGGATATTTTGGTATGTCTCTGTTAGCAAAGGACCTAAGATGCCCACTTAATGCTTCTTTACAATCAAGAAAAACGAGATGCAAATATTTTCATCAGCGTCGATGTAGGCTTTTTTAACCTCACTAGTAATCTCACGTTCAAGGATTTCTTTCCTTGGTATACACTTTCATTCTCATGGCACTCATGGTATCTCTACGCTGCTGTATTTGGAGTTCCAGTGGTGTATTAACATACTTAGATGTCTCTTTTCGAACCTAGGCTACCTTTTTCACTATCAAAGGCTCTTTTCTGTCTTCAATTAAATAAAATGGAATTTGGTTAAACCCATCCTTCATGGTGTTAAAGTGTGTGTTTTGATTGCACCAACTGTTTGAACCAAAGGCGCAAATCTCTACATATGTACGAAACTTGCAGATTATATAGCACACGCGTTACCTCTTCATTCGTTAAAAAGCACGCAATTTGGATAGCACTATCATTATTAGTCTGCGTAGAATGGTTGTAAATTTCTTATCGTGGCTAGGATAAGCTGAGTTATTTTTGCTGATTTTTAGGGATATATATCTGCTTACTGGTGACTATGCAGGGCTCTATATAGGAGTTTTCAACATGTAGAAGGCGGCAGAGGAGCTGTCAATAAATGTCATGGAGCAGGCCCATTCCTTCCTTCTCTTTACCCTTTTGCATAGACCTTAGATTTGCAAACGGCAATCGAAATTTTCAGAGTGGGAGTTATTTATATCATTTGTTACATGCCTTCTTTCATGACCTCATGATACGGTGTATCAATTTGTAAATTAAAGCCGATCATTTAGGTTACCACTTTTTGCACTGCCATCTGTTCAATAGAAGGTTTTCGTTCAAATCAGGAGGTTTTTTTGTGTTTATAGATAATCATGCTGGTTTACTAAAGGAAACGGCAGAAAGTGTCACATTAAGGTATGATTTTTCCCATCCCTCCCTGTCTACCTGTATGATTGGTTGACTGTCTCGATGTGTCAAAGTGCAAGATACAAGATTCGCCCCTTCATGTTCTCTTTCATGATGGGCAGCTATTCAGTGAAAAAACAGGATGAATTTCCTGTTGGGAAATCTGCTTTTCAATTGAGTACAGTAGTAGGCTTTATTTTTCCTTCTCTGCCTTTTTGCATTTCTTTCGTGATAGCATGAAACGACAGTCACATGAATTCAGCAGCTCCCTCGTTATGCTATACAGACATGGGATGCATTTGAAATCCGTACCCTGTTAGCCTTTCCTATTTTTTTTTTATTTTGAACCACTGTATTTTGAGGTAAACAGATTCTGTGCGGCATGTTCATCTTCTTCACCCGTTCTTTGTTTCTCGTTGTGCCTGTCACTACATATTATGAATAATATACGAATTTTTGGGTCTTGATGCTTTAAAAGCGTTTTCATCCAGCCGACTGTATTACTACAACAATGTAAACGCAGCATTAACAAGATCCAGTAGTGAAATTGCCTATATAGACTTCCTATTTGGGAATGTCAACTGATTAATCAAAAATAAACCATTTCTGCCGAAAGTATCATTGTCGCCGGTTCGGTAAATTTTAAATGATTTCCAAAGGCAAACAGAATCGACTTAGCGGTAGCAACATGGTCTGCTCATTGTTCTCCCCTTCTTTGGTACCACTTTTTAGTAAGAAAGGTCGTTTTTCAACAATTGTTACTCCAATTATGCGCAATCCCCCCCCCCTGCTCACTGTACAGCACCCAAGTTGTCCATAAAAAAATGGAAGGATTGAAAGAGAGACTAAGAGTCTTTATATTCACTTTGCCACAATTGGGCAAGGCCCTGGGTACATCAAACTGAAATAACATTTCTGTGGTGTTCTCGGTACTGGTGAGACAGAAGGAGTAAGGAAGCATAACTTGAAGAGGTCCTCTCCTTTCTCTCTTACAAACTAGGCCGAGGCAGGTGGCAAAGCGGATGATGAGATGAACTCCAAGGCAAACGGCTCGAAGCCCAAACAGGCAGTCACCTGCCGCACCTGCAAGGGTGCCCACTTCTCCCTCCAGTGCCCCTTCCGGAGTGAAATGGAGGCCCTGCGCTCCTTCATGGACTCTACAAACGCCGGGGGTATAGATTCTCAGACTGCTGATCCTATGACGAAGGTAAACTGCTCCTTAAAAATCCGCGATAGCTGTGTTTGATACATTGCTAAATTCGGTTGGAAAAATCTTTTTTGGGGTTTCAATTCACGTCGTCGTTTATTTGCTTTGTAGGCAGCAGTACAGGAAATAGCGCCCGAACTCAACACTGGTCGTTACATCCCTCCGACCTTGCGAGCAGCTGCCGCAGCAGCCAACGGCGTTCCAGAGCGCCGTCGAATGGAGGGCTTCTCTATTCGTGTCACCAACCTACCTGAGAATACCAGCGAATCCGATTTGCGGGAAATTTTCAGCCGTTTCGGTGATGTTATCCGCATCTTCCCTGCAAAGGATAGGAAGACTCAACTTAATAGGGTGGGTATTTGGTACGGAAGGAGGGGGTAGTTTTCTCCAAGCTCACTAATACCGGCCCAAGCAGGGGTCATTTGTTGAAAGCAGCTATTCAGGATTACATGTAAAATATCTGAGTTCGTCGAAGCTTTTGAAGTCTGGAGTCTTCGAACTACAAACCTAGTATTTATTTTGACAGGAGCCCTTGTTTCTATCTTCCCTAACGATTCCTTAGGGAGGGAAGGTGTTTTGGATCCTCGTTGAATGCGGATAGTCGGCAACATTCATGCCTTCTTTAGCCCGAATTAATCCATCATCTTTGTGTGATGCCAAGGCCCTCACAATCGCCCTCATCATCTTGTATTTTCTATTCTTCGTTCTTGATTTACTTTCCTGTTAAGAAGAATGGGATTCCAAGTTTTTTTACTGGTTTTTGAAACCATACGTCACTCACCCGTCTGTATAATCGCGTGACCGCTTACGACATTGAATGGACGGAGGCGAAGGTACCTGGGCTCCGGTTTTTTTCCTTACCTCCTAGGAGGCCTTACATCTGGTTACTGACACCCTCATTTTGCCGATTGCTCGGTACTCAGTAAATTGTAGCTTCCTGGTGAAGTGCCTAGCCCACCACGACCTGCCCAGTTGGAGGTCAGCTGTTACATTGGCAGGAGCGATTTGGGCTGAAATTGACGTTGATTGGCTGGCCCTCAGAGTCCTCTGAAGCCGAGGTACCCTTCATTGGATGCCGACATCCAGCTACATCCTCCTTTTTCAAATATGATTTTTTAATTTATAAAAAGGGTTTTCATCTTTTTCTGTTTTTTTTTTCCTTCGTTTCTGAATGACTCCTTTTTAATTTAATGAATGCCTTAAGTCTCACTTATATGTCGATAGCTGGACAAGATGCAGCCATTCTCGTTCTTGAATAAGCTTTTTAGGGTTTCAGGCATATTTGGCGTCCTCATTGGGGATCACTTAATTGCTACAATAAATCAGCTTTTCTCCGTTAGAATTACATAGTTGGTAGGTCCCTTCCACACCTACCATGAATCGATCCGTCGCGAACATTTGCCACTTTTGATCCAATAACTGTCAAACTACGTTACACCACCATGTGTCTACGAGTAGCTGGAAGTCGACTTAAAACGAAAACACTTAGTTCTTGTGCTCTTTCTTTAGGGTTTTGCGTTCATTTCCTACGCCACTCAAGAGGAGGCTGCTTCTGCCATTTACTCGGCCAACGGCATGCACTACTCTCACCTCATTCTAAAGGTGGACTGGGCCCAGTAAGTTATGCTTTCTTCACCAGAATAAACCCCAGAACTACTCCCTCCATTTTAGCCTATAACTCAATTTGACTCGGTTTTCATTTTAATTTTGAGTAGGTCTAGACAGTCGTGCTACTTTTGGGGCTTCAGTAGTGTCTTGCACTGCTGATGCCATGAATAGGAAGTGGTGTCTTTTCCTTGCAAACCCGTTTTTTTTTCTTGATTTTTTAGACCGTCAAATAACTGAGATTAAGTGGTGGGATCGGCTTTTTGTCAAACAAATACTGCTATTCATCCTTGGTCTACTCGAGTCTTGATGTTTTGAAACCTTGAAGAGTGTGTGTTACGAATAAGGGGTGAGAATCGTTCTATAGCTCTGCCATTTCGACTAACCGATAAGAAGGCGAATGGAAAGGGGGTTCGCGGGGTGTCATTGACTTAAAATCTCCTGCAGTAGTGGGCTACTGCTTCCAATTTTTTTGATGATTCATCAGCCTCGGGTGCTTTTCGGGAAGCGATTGCTCATGCACACCTTTCTTTGGCCTTCAGCATACTCCTTTGCTGATGATTTGATACCTATCTTAGAAGGGAGGTGTTGATAACCCATATCAGCATTAGGAAACTGTCAGGAGGTTATAGGCACAACTAAAAGGTCATGCTGCTGAGCACCGACACAAACTGTGGCAAGGGAAGAGGCCCACCCATGGAGTCCTTCTAGTCATTATTCTGTTTCAGCTGTCGCAAAGTAGTTGGTATTCTTGGAATTGCTCACGGAGGAGGAATCGTAGTCGCTAAGATTTTCATGGGGAAGCAGGAGCTGCTCGATTTTATCATCACTTTGAGATACTTTTCTCGGATTGAGTGAAAACCCCCTTTTTACCAGCAGTAACCCCATTGTCTACAGGGGGGGGGGGGGGAAAACTCTCAAACTACGAAAGTGGGTTGATTTCTGGAAGAATGCGTCTAAAGTTGTTCTGAATGGCAGCAACAACTACGAAATGATGACCTTCACAGTGACCAATGGGAGGACGAAGAGAGTCGGATTTTCCACTGGCGTCTTAATTGGAGTAGAAATGTTCGTGCTCGCGCCTAATCCTACCCAGCCTTCATGTCGTCCTTTTTTTGCACTGCTTGACGCTCTGCAATGGAGCTTGCTTCCCAACAGATAATAAATGGAGGTGTTTATAATGATCAACAGTTTTATCATAAGGTGGGGCTTGAGTTGATCATCAGTTTTAAGCCTTCAAACAATTCACCATCTTTGGACTGCAGTGAGATTGGGCCATTAGTGGTGGGTAGCTTGAGGAGAAAAAGTCCCTTTGCAAATCTTGTGTGTGTATTTGTAATGCAAAGAGTGATCAACTAAAACAGAGATAGAGGGAGAGGCGAGGCGAGAGCATGTAATTCGAGCAAGATTTAGTGAATCCACGCAAAAACACACGCAAGAGGGGCTTGAGATTTACATTCTGCGCCTACCATGTAAGGAGGTTTGGGACTGGGAAGGAGGGGGAGTGGGGGTACATTGTTAAGATTAAAGTCAATGAGGTCATTTGTACATAAAATGATGACGGTGATAGCTCACTACATCGGTTCCAACGTACTGAAGGCGAGGGTGGACGAATCTGCACTCTTTTAAAACAAGGCACTTTTGTGTGGGAGTCTACTTGTTGCAGTAGTGGTGGTAGTGGTCGATTGTTCTGCTGATTGAGTTTGTGCTCTCACCACGCAGGTAGATTGAGCTGATGATTGGAAGGGCGTTACGCGTAGATAGTATCCTAGGGGGGAAAACAACAGCAACAAAATTAGTCTCATCATTGGTGTTTTACTTTCTGCACTTTTTCTGTGATCGCCTGAAGGGAACGTCCAAGTACCTTTGTGGCGGCAGCTTGATAGGATATTCATGACACCTTTTTGCCCTCTGTAATAAACAGAACCACTTTTACTGCTACTTCATGGCTGACTGCCATTCTAAGAAAATTGGAGAAGAAAGGTCTCCAATTTGGGTAATATCGAGGATGTTCCAAGTGCCTAGATTCCTTCGGGACCCTCATCAGGCGAACAGTCGCTTTGGAAGCGTACTTCGTGCAAAGTTCTTCGGTGTGGGTCCTTCAGTTAAGGAACGTTGCAATGCAAAGTGCCATCTCTTATCACAGGGCAATCTGTCCACAAATAAAGGTAGAGATTCGAACTCTACGATATTCATAGGGGGTTCGCAGTTCTTCCGACGAACTAATGAGCAGAAGAAAACAATACTCTTGTCGCACGACAACGATTCACTTTGCTAGTACTTTCAAAAATCAAGACCAGTTTAGTTTATGCCTACAAAGTGACAATTTGATTTGTTGATAATCCCCTGATTATTGGTAGTGGCAATTTGATTGGCTATCGGAGAAGCAGCATACATCAATAAAATGAGGTCACCTACATTTCTCACACTGCAGTCGGGTCCCACGTAGGGGTCTGGACATGTGCAAGAACCAGTGCGGGGAGAGCATTGGCCATTGTTGGTGCATTGGCAATGATACCTGCAATCCTCCCCGAAGTATCTACCGGCCTGACAACCTGTCAAGGGTTGAGGACCATTAAAATCTTACTTTTCTTTTAGCATTTTCACAATAACCATTTCCGTGCTCTCAAATTTTTTGATAAAGCTCGTTTTAGCCTAAATGTTGGTGTGAGGAAAAGAGAGGGGCGTTCGCCTTTCCATCGGTGGATAAACAATTATTTTAGGGAGTTAATCTGTCCTTTTCCTCAGGAAAGCCCTTACATGACAACACTCTACAACAACAAAAACAAAAAGAATGACGACGCCGATTTTGGACTACACTTAGTAGGTTTACTGCAAATGGTCTTAGTCGAGGCGGGTGACGAATTTGCCTGTCGCTTGAGGGTGAGGAGGAAATGGTGGAAGACAGAAAGAAATCGCGTGAATAGGGAAAATCAAGCCGCCGTGGCATCTTCTTACTCCGTTTGCAGTTCTTTCCATATTGGCCCAGATCGCAGAGGCAGCGACCTGTCTCAAAGTGACACTCCTCGCAGTTTTCACATCGCTGAGCGCACTTCTCACCACGGTAACCCCGAGGGCACACTGTAAAAGAAGGCGATGCTAATTATGAACAGAGGAGGCTCTATGATTATAAAGCAGTTCAACCTGACCCCTTATTGTTCAGAAATGGAATTAACCAATTCCATAACAGTGCCAATTTCTACCAGTTAATTCGATTAAAGTATTGTTTGGTTAACCTTGGCTGTCAACCAATTAAGTCACGGCACTCTCTCAGCCACTGATACTGATCAAATTGATCGTTTCTGTTCCCAAAAGCGTGGTGATACGAAAACAAATTATAAAGTACAAAATAGAAGCATAATTTGTGGTTTTTCGTAGCGAGAATGACCTCGGTTCCCTTCAGCCTATCATATTTCGTAATACGTTGGTCATTAAGTCCCTTACCTTGATCACATCGGTCGCCAGTGTAGCCAGCCTTGCAGATGCACCGTCCAGTAAGGGGATCACAATCCGTCTCACCCTTGCGTGGATTAAAACAAGTACATTTGAAACGACACCCAGGACCCCACCAACCTCCGGGGCATTGGAGTTGGCACAGAGGCCCGAAGAATCCAGCTGGACAATCGCAAGCTCCGTTCACGGGATTACAGCGGCCACCATTGTGGCAGCCACAAACCTACAGAAACAGGAAGGAGGAAGAATGCGAATCATCTGCAAGATAGAATGTGCAAAGGGATCTTAGTCTTCTCTGGTGGGGTCAAATTCACGGAAACATCTAGCTATTATCTCGGTCTAAAACCCTTCTACTTGGACATAGTCTCACAATTCCTATTCCACTCTCGCGTGCCATGAGACAGGCGAAGGTGTCGTCGAAAGTGTTTGATGATCGTAGTCTTGTCTATCGAAATTCTGTTGAAATTTTTGAAATGTCGAATTAAAACCATACAAGAAATTGATGAGATTGTTTTAGCCTTTGGTTACATTAAATGACTTAGATCTCGATCAGTGAAGTTTTGTTTGAATCGATGGGTTGGCAGATGGTGGAAGCATTATATTAATTTACGTCTTGATCTACCATTAGAGTTACCTCTGATTAGGCATTACCTGAGAACAGCCGGGTCCAAACCGACCTTCTGGACAGGTGGAACTGCAGTCATCCCCCTCGGTCCCTGGTGGACAAGGGCAGAGACCTGTTTGTGGATGACATATGAGTATTTCGGTGGTACGTGGACGTTGCCGTCCCATGGAAACGATAAGGCTCTGCGCAGAGAAGGTGTCATCGTCGGAGTTGTAGTCAGAGGTCAAGGAAGCGAAGCTGGCCTCCATATGTCCAGCGACACAAATGGGGCATTTGGATTCACATTTCCTGCCCCATTTCCCGGGAGGACAGGCTTGAAAAGATTGGAGGGGATATAAGGAGATGTAAATTAATTGAGTGTTAGCATATACTTAATAAAACTCACTTAGTTCACAATTTTCCCCATAATAGCCGGGATCACAATCACATGCCCCACTAATAGGATCACAGGCCTCGCCATGGATACAGTGACATTGAAGTCGACAACCGTCTCCGTAAAATCCATCAGGACATGGAATGGCGCAACGTTCACCGTAGAAACCTACACAATAGATAAATGAGAATCAAGGTCAGCAAAATTTTGAATCAAATGTCCTCTCAGTTTTGAGCGGTTCAAGGTTATGACAATGGGTTTTATTAGGTAAATTCGGATCATGTGAAGCCTTCAAAAAGGATGCTATCATGGCAGTACGGCGTACAACTGCGGGCGAGACGTAAAGCCCACGCACATGCAGTGAGGCGGTTTGGACACCAACAATCAAGAAGGGGAAATAAAAGTGGTTTAAGCATTAAAGAAGGTATTGGTGAACAAAGCCGTAAAACTGACAAACAGCTACTCTTGCAAAAGTCTCCAAGGATAATGCAGTGAGGTGAAGGGACACTAGAGTGACAAACGTTTCAGTAGTGGAGGTATGTGTCAGCCATTGACCATTCCAGCCGAGGTGATTCGCGTCGCTTTTGTTCAGCCTGATCTTGGACACCTGACCAGCGAACTACTTGCAATGAGGTTGCTGAGGTGCTTGTAATCCCAGACAGCGTCCCCGGTTTGGTTCTTTAGAAGGTTCCATCTGCATGACCAATTCTCACCCACCCCCTCCTGATTGACTAATATGGCATCACACATAGCAGTACTAGAAGTAAGATCATGCTCACCGCAAGGTCAATCAAGTATTATATATGCAGGAAACGGAAATGACTAGGTGTCAGCTGCAGTCTCCACTAACCAGCCAGCTATCGCGAACCCACACGCCACAACCTTTAGCTTGTTCATACCCATCGGCGAATTAAGGTATCTGTGCAGAAGTCTTTGCCTGCTGGTTACTCTGCTGAGTGGCTAGACAAGATCTAAGCCCAGTTTGACACCCTTAAACTCCAATTCACAGCAGAACTTGTCTGAGTTCAGATTTTTGGATGTACTTTCAATGCGGAGAGGACACCAACTTTTGCTCAATTTCCCATCTCATCCGGATGGTAAACACAAAAATTGTTAGTGACAAAACACTCCCCATCATCTGAAGAATGATACTGTTCCCACTTAATTGGATTTGGGGGGTAAAGATTGTGTTCATCAATTTACAGTTCTATCAGTCAAAATGGCATGCACCTACTACTGAAATTTGAAATTAGCAGACATGTCCTTTACACAAGTTCTGGTTTAATTGTATGTAAATGGTGAGAAAAAAAGTCTTGGTGGTCATTTTTGAAACGTGTCTACCGATTATCTTGTTCGCTAGCTTGAGAGGATCGGAAATTCTCACACATGAGTGCAAGTTCATAACAGATGCCCTCCTGGGCTACACTAAGTTAGCTCAAGATTACAATCAGGACGGCTTTTTTTCATTTAAGCGGCATACAAAAGCTACTGATAAAGGCCCAAATCTTTTGAATAGTATTGTTACATATTTTAAATTCTGGATAAATCTTTTTGTTATGGATGTAGAAGGAAAATTAACACCGAAAAACTACATCCTGGTTTGCCTTGAATAGGCAGTACAAATTCATTTAAGAAGGCAAGAGAGATGAGGAGAAGGTCGTTCAACAGTTGATTTGATGGTACAAATGATCTCGACTGACCTGGTTTGCAGATGCAGGTACCCTTATTGGGATGACAAGTTCCGCCGTTATCACAATGACAGCTGTATTCACATCTTGGTCCGTAGGCGCCTTCAGGACATCCTACAAACAGTGCAAGTGAAATTTATGCTAAGTAATTGGTTAAAAGGAGAAGTCAGAGTTGCGACGTTGCCGTCAACACTGGAAGAAGTACCGTGAGTTTCCTTACAAGTCACGACAAGTGATTGTGGTGCGCTATGTCGAAACGACCCGAACTTATTTTATCACTCGAAAAATCAATAAGTTTTGCGATGTCTAAACCATCAACTCACGTCCAGCACATCGTCCATCCACCACCATCCACCCATCACGACATCGACACTGTCCATTTTCAGGATCACAAATTGCGTCAGGTCCAAGTTGATCACTGCAACGACAGATACGTTGACAATCGATACCCCATCGGCCGGTGGGACAGAGCTCTTCACACCGTTTACCCGTTCGTCCAGGCGGGCAGGCACATTCTCCCGTCTCGTGGTTGCAAGGTCGGTGGTCTGGACAGTTGCATCTAGAATAAGGACACGTGAAAGGGCGCTAATTGTGTCCACTAGTCTACTTTAAGATCTCCAACAAATTGACCACATCTTTGCATTTTATTCACATGTGAAATTTCGGATATGGAAGCCTTGAAACATTTAGGAAATACTCGGTTCACTGGCGTGTGATATGTGAATATAAAAAAATGTAACTTTCCTCCACAATGCCATGCCATTCTCACTCCTGGATCTTGAAAGTGGGAAGTAATCACGGTGCTGGGCGACTTGGAGGGCCTCTCCCACACCTCTTCAGCTACTAGCATCTCAATCTTTCTGTACGTTATACTACCCTCAGAAGTAACACAGCTGCCTTTTTGACACTTTTACCCAGTATGAGAAGAGTCAAATGTAAATGCCAAGTAGTGAAAGACAGGTGTGTTTACCTTTCACTGCAATCCTTGCCATAGGTGCCCTGTGGACAGGGTTTTTCGCATTCTTTCCCCGTCCATCCTGGCGGACATGAGCACAAGCCAGTGACGAAATCACAAGTGGCAGCTGGATGCCGACATTCGCAGACCTGTGTGCAATTTTTGCCATAATAACCCGCCTCGCATTCTGTTAGTGAAAAAGGTGATGGATTACTAGAAGGGTAGCAACATAATTTGCTGCATTTCTTAGTGGTCAAATGTACGACCTTTCAAGAACGCCTGCTTGGAAAAGAAATTGAGCTGCGTAACAATTAGTTAGAAGCCAGTATTAACCCTTTGTGTCCGTGCTCACCTGCTAAAAACAAATAAAAAAATTTCGCATCCAGAACTCACGTTTATGACATTCGGTCCCTGTATATCCCGGTGGACACTCACACTGGCCGGTGAACCGATTACAATCAACACCGTCCCTACATCGGCAGACACTGACACAGCCTTCACTCCACCGCCCTTGTGGACAGGGCTGTTCACACATCTCTCCAAACCACCCGGCCGGACAATTGCAAGTGCCATCAATAGGAGAACAGGTGGCACCTCGCAGACAGACGCATGTTTGCCTACATCCCTCGCCCCACCGACCACGGGGACAGGGGGCCTCGCATCGACTTCCACTACGACCTGGAGGGCAGCGACATTCTCCAGTCACCTTGTCACATTCGATTCCAGCCACGTCGGAGGCGCACTCACACCTATTTTTACAATTCTGACCGTAGGTACCATCCGGACAGGGTAGGCGACAGTCAGAGCCGGTCCAACCTTTAAAAAAGAGGAATAAAACCTCTTCATAAAAAATTATAATTATGAAGAAATGGAATTACATAAACATAGGAACACTATGCAAGAGTAAATCCACGGGCCTCCGCTCACCGGCAGCACAAATGCATTGCCCGGTTACATGATTGCACTCAGCCCCATTGTAGCAGCTGCAAATGTGTTGACAATCCTCTCCATAATACCCCGCTGGACAGGGCAGATCACATTGCATGTTGTGCCAGCCCGGATCACAGTCGCATGCTCCCGATCTGTGATCGCATTTGCCATGAATGCAGACACATGTAAATCCACAGTTTTGTCCGAATTTTCCCTTTGGACATGCTAGAATAGATACATAAAGGAGTTGGTCTAGTTCTTGCCAAGGTGCTACCCCCTTTCTTGTGGTGAAACGTGGTGATCTTACGTTGGTCACAGTTGTGTCCAATGTAGCCGGGTGAACAAACACAAGTACCGGTGTCCTTATCACACTCAAGACCGTTTTTGCATTCACAAGTCTTCTCACAGTCTGGACCCCATCGACCCGGGGGACAAACTAAAAAGAGTCATGCATTTATAACGCGGAAGAGTAGACAAACGGAGCATAGCGGGCGTGTCATATTAGCGGCGCTTCAAACGCATTGGGTAAACAAAAAAGCACAGAAGTCCGAAGACCTTACCGTAATTCCATTTCTTGACTAATAAGGTGGAAGGTCATTGTATTAATTACTTAAAATTGGTCAACTTAAGAGAAGAGGTTCCTAAATTTTGTAAAGACAACTCGAGAAATAAAGAGGCTAAAACCTTAGCACGTGATTAATCAAAAGGCAGTGACACAACCTGAGGCTTACCTGGTTGAATTTGAATGTTCGGAACAGGATCGTTCTCTGAAAGAAAATTAGTGAAGTGACTTAAGAAATGATTAAAAGATTCATGGAACACGAAAGGTGGGAAGCTATAAAGGTTAGAATGGCTGATTGTAGAAAAAGGCGTTAAATATCCTCAGGAGGCTTCTGTCTTCAATAGCCTCGAAATTTCATTTGTAATATGAACGTCTACCAACCTAGAAAACGCTCCTGTTTTGATTTCCTGCAAGACTTCATTTTGAAGCTTAATTGTGGAGCATTCCAGAATATTCCGCTCTTGTTCATCCCCTTGATTGACTGATGCGATCTTACATATAGATTCACCTGAAGTGAGCTAATGCCCACCATAAGGTCAAGGTAAATCAAGCACTATACACAAGCTAAACGAAAATGACCAAGTGTCTCTGGTAGCCTCTACTGCCCACCTGGCTATCGCATACCCACACCGTAAGCTCTTGTTTGATCATGCCTGTCAGCAAATTAAGATGTCTTCACAAAAATCTTTGCTTGCTGATTACTCTGGTTGATAGCTCGAGAGGATCCAAGCGCCAATTCACTTCAGAACGTGTCTGCACTCCGACTTGCTCCGCTGAGGATGTGCATATTGTTGGGCTGGGTTTTGGCGTCGAAGTGCTTTCAATGCGGAGAGATCACCACAATTTATTACATTTCCATTCTCATTCAAATGATAAGGGCAAACTATTTTGGAGACAAAGGACACTCCTACCATTTGGGAGATGAGATTACCTCTACTGGATGGGGTTTTGGAGAGTGAAGACGGCGTACACCAGCATACTCTTCCAGCGGTCAAAAGGTATGACGGCAGTGGACGCTTATTCCACACATAAATTATGGTTTAATCGTATTCAAGTAATAAAATAAGGTGCTTACGAATGTTGCAAGTTTTTCCTTTGCTGCCGTCCATGCAAAAACAGACCCCATCGACAGGATCGCAGTTAAGCCCCATTGGACCACAGGCGCAGGACTCGGCACAATCCTTGCCGAATTTGCCCGAAGGACAGACTAGAAATTTCCAAGTGTAATCTTTTTTGTGAAGAGTACTTGCAAGCAGACTTGAGCTAGTACTAATTATATTTAAGTAGCATTCGAAGGAATTTTAAGTCCTACAAAATGAGATTAGGAAACATTTTTACCGATGTAATACAGGAGAAGCGACAAAGTTAATGAGTTTCCGTCTATTCTTCAAGCAAGATTAAAATGAGGGGTGATGGCACGTGAAAACTTTCGCCTGATAAGATTTGCTGCCCCAAGATGGTAGCGAAATATTGTCTTGAGTCAAAGGAAAGTAGAGCAGCCTTTTAATTCGTTGGTGGGTATGCTCGTTGTAGCGATGGAATTATCTTACATTATAATTCCTATGACTGGTGGCGGACGCACTTCAGGGCAAAAGTAAGACCACGGAGAGGAAAGGAATGAATTCTCCGTGCTGGATTCTATAGCATTATGCTTAAATCAAAGGTGGACATATTTGTAATCGCATTTCTAAGAGACTATCTCCTATCATTAACATGTCACATATATGTGACATGTGGTCCAGTCGTACTAAACCGTTTTCATTTGATATACAGATCGGAGAAGTTTGGAGCAATAAACTAGATATGGGATATTTTTGGCCTTAGAAGGATAATTGTTTTGTCGAGGAGAGGTTAGTCAAAATTGACGAAATTTGGTGCTATGTCAATCCACTAAAATCTCAGGATCGTTGTGGTCACCAGTCGTTGAGATCTTGACGGATGAAGCATTAAAAAGTTGATCACACCTCATAGAGCTCCTCCTGAAGCTTCATCCTATTTTAGGTACTTTGTTACCGTAGCAGTGAAACTCACATTGATCGCAATTGCGACCCCAGCGGCCAGCAGGACAGGAACCGATGCACTTCCCTGTCTCAGTTTCACAGCCACGAGAGCAATCCTCACATTTCTCCAGACAATCCTGCCCGTAGAATCCAAAACCGCAGGGTTTTGAACATCCCACCGAATGGTAGCCAGGCTTGCATAGGCATTCACCGGTCTAAGACAGTACAAAAAAAAATAAAAAAATATTTTTAATAGGCGGCTGAGGTCTGAAGAGGTCACTCAGTTGCTGGACGAGTGGCAAAGCGAAGTGATATGCCCAGTACCTCTTGCTCCTTAGTGAAGAATAAAAATCAATTACCTGGATCCTTCAAAGAAGACCAAGCTTCTATAGACCAACCCTTACTGTGAATAACAAACAAAGCAATACAGAAGGGTTGCCAAAGCTGCAAAAATTAGGGAGAATCTCTTAACGTTAAGTTCACTTTAGGACCAATTCTTGCCCGAATCAGAATCCCTTACATCACCTTGTGTCGAAAGGATCTATGAACACTCGAGGCAGATCTCCCAAGGGTATTATAGTGTAATGAGTAGGGAGAGGATTATGTGCACATGTGGCATTTTGTCTCTAGAAACCAAGAAGCAACCTAGCTCTAGTCACCACCCTCTCCGGCTGACTTTGTTTTCTTAAATGCCCATTCTATTTCGCATGGGGTCACGTGATTGCCTGAAGCCAAAATAGGCTGGTAGCCATCAGTTGGAGGAGTAGGTCAGGTGTGCGGAAATTGAGATGAAAGAGAATCTCCCCCCTTCTCACTCCTAAAGTACTTTGAAGTAATCGATCATTCGTTTTTGAGTTCTACGGATTAGGCAAATCTCAGCCGTATTTATGGATTGACCTTTGGCAACTGAACGATTGCAGATGCAGTACACACATAGAGAAGAGACCTGTGAAGCTTAATCGTTGCGCGCTTTAGAAATATGGAATGAGATAACCGATGGTATAATTTTACCCTTCAAGGTAAGTGAACTCCACCAGGGGTCAGTCAGCTTGCAAGCATACCACCTACAAGAGCTAGGCAACTCAATCGACAAAAAACGTCTTCAGCTTTGAAGCTGAGCTAGGCTCGACTCGTACAGCAAAAAAGACCAAATCAGACCTCAGATTTAATTATGCATGGGGTCCAAAGTGAAAGAGGAGAGTACACCCCGACAGACTGACAAGTCTCAAACAACTGTTTCCACTTTACAAGTTGCCTCTTGCATCGATCTAAGTCGGAAAGCCATGAGGAATAATTTGGTTACCTGTCAGCTGTCAATGTTCTACAAACAAACCAACTTTCACTATCAAAACCTGTCATACTCACTTCTGGATCACATCCTTTGTAGTTGCTATTCGGATCGTAGCACATAGCAGGACACGCCTCTGCACACATCTCTCCAAATGTGCCCTCTGGACAGGTGATATGACAGGAGGAGCCATATTTTCCCGGTGCACAAGTACACGCACCCGTCTTGGAGTGACAATATCCGGTGGAGCATTGCTTGGGACATCTTTTATCACAGGCAGCTCCCCAATATCCTGGTGGACAGCCGACTTTCTCACACTTCTTTCCATAACGACCTGGTGGACATTGACAAGTACCCGTGGCAGAGTTACACTTGCCGGTTGGACAATCACATTTTTGCTTGCATCCAACTCCCCATGTACCCTAAAATATAACGAGCTTTCATTATTGTTGGCTATGGATTGCATGAAAGGAATTGGGGGCAAACGGGACAAAGAAGGGAAAAAGAATAACTTGATTTCGTCAGTACACTCGTCACCTCTCGGTTAGTGGTGAATTCTTGAAAATGGAGGTAGTCTCCTTTGGGAATCCAGATAGATGGACATTATTGAAGGCGAGGCCTCATCTGTAGAGACTTGTGATAACACCTAACCGATTGGTCTCCAAGGTGGAAGCGACTGCCATGCTGTGGATCGGCTTATCTGCTCTTTCGTTATTTTCGGCCCACGTGCATTACCCTTGCTGGCTAAACACTGGCTGTGCATGGGGACTGGACTAGCCCGTAAAATATCCACTTGAGGTATGACACCACCAAAGCAATATCCTCTTACATTAGGGGAAATTCAAAAGTTCAAATATGACCTGAACAACGCCTAAAATGACTCAATGCTGATAAATTCTATCGGTCACTCTTTTCCTTTTGAATGAGCTCTATATCTTTTTGATAATTTGCCAACCAGCCTCAAAAATATAGTTAAATTCTTGTCGAGACAGGGGGTTCATAGAATTAGCGAAGTGTGTTACAAATTTCTCAAGGATTCGGAAATCTAATTAGTCTTTTTTCTGCCGTAATAATCACCCTTAATTAAACATCCCCATGCCAAAGTTGTGAGTGACATTGTTGCTCTGTTGATTGCCATCTGTTCGAGTCTGTGGATTACCGTGTGCAGTACATGAAAGAGAAGACCATCCCATATTTCCGCAATTCAGCCTTCTACGCCTGTGGTCATGCGACCTACACTACTGGACCTTTAGACCCTGTGTAGGTCGCACGCCTGATCGTTTCCTCCTTTGCTTCCTATGACACTATTTTACTTCTACCCTGCCACTGATCTGTCAAAATGATTTGACGTTAAGAAGTTATTGAACCTACCGAGGGACATGGTTCTTCACAAACGATCCCCTGAAATCCGGGTGGACACTTGCATCCACGGCTATCACTTTGACAGTAAGCACCATTTTGACAATCCGAGCAGACGTATTCACATTGCGGTCCAAAGGTTCCCTTGAGACAAATTTCTGAGAAAAATTCAAAAAGCCAAAATTACTTAAGAAGGATAATAATCAAACATCTATGTGAACAAAGGAATTTAAGAGAAGAACATATTCACAATAAATAGACAAATCTGCGAATGCTACTAATTTCGCTATTCAGTAGCTCCATCAAGCATTTTAATGATTACACATTTGAGGTCGGTAACGTTATTCCTGTTTGTTAATGAATTGTGTTTTAGTAATAAGTAGTGGATTTCTTGATGGGTGTCTTCAATTTACTGCACATCTGGAGCAAACAAAGGCACATTTAAAAACGCCTTAAATAAACACCCAAAAGAAACAGGCGTACACCAAATTTGTAAACAGACTGACAAAAAGACAGCGCACAGACAACGACAGGTATGATGAAAGAAATGATGATTTTGACTACTTGAGAAATCAGACGTAAACGGTTCATAGCCGGCAGGCGAATATGCATTTTCCATTAATAAACTCCTTAAGTAAATTAATTTGTTGTAGTGATTTGGGGTTTGTTTCAAATTACTCTGTGCTGGGTGAGGCCTTCAATCTCCACCTTATGGTCATCTTTATCAGGGTTTTAGGAAGGGCTTGAAGCGCTACGGTGGTGGCACTGATAAGGCAACCCGACTCAGGTAAAAAAACAGCGCCACTTGCTGTTACTATTTACCTAATTAAGAGCTATCAGGGGGAAGGTGTTTTCTGTGAATGACTTAATCCACCGTGGCTTGCACGATAAGCGAAGACAGAGGGAGCTGTCTCAACACGTCTTCAATTGATTTGGTGGTTTAAAAACCTGACATTCCTTCTGCAATTGATGTTTTCAGGTGCTTACTATCAGGAATGTGCTTGGTGTAGAAGGTCCTCTGGTTCTGGCAGTGACTCACAAAAGATTCGTCTACGATAAAGTTTGCATTACTGGAAACGCAGTGCTCAGAAGCCACAACTGGATCTGCAGCATGTATCGTGGCTAGGAGACAGTATTTTTTCTTAAATGGTCACAAGGTGACTCATTACGGGCGATGGAAAAGAGTAACCACGGTGAGGGCCGAAGACAACTTTTAAGGGTGGAGGGGCACTATTTAATGTTCTTTTGAGGTACTTTTATCTACTTGGACTTTGTAGTCTCTGTAGATTCTGACACGACTTCTGGGTCAAGCCAAACATGTATATGGGTGTGCTTTAAGGCACCGATCCGCCTACGTACTGCGACTGGCATATGGAGCATTTACAACGGCTATATGAAGGAAAACTTTAATCACTCACTTTCGGCATTATCACCACCACTATAATTTGGAGATCTCCAAGTTACGTCCCATGATCGGCTTTCATCACCAGCATAATTTGAACCTGAAATTTGCCCGAATTAATAGATTCACTCGTAAAGTATTTCGAATATATGTTGCAAAACCATGGACTCCAAGCACTTACGAACACAGGTTCTACCATCCTCGGCCAATTCTTCGCCCATCTGACAAACACACCTATAACTCCCTGGTGTGTTAATGCATCTGCCTGAGCATCCACCGTTGTAGTTCAGGCATTCATCGATATCTTGCAAGTAAACAAAAGTTAACATGGTTGTGCCAAACCCTTACTTATAATTTATAAGTAGGCAAGGCTCACCTATACATGAGAATCCATCCACGGATAAGCGATAGCCCTCATCACAGGCACATCTGTAACCGCCGATTTCGTTCATGCATTTCGATGCAACCCCATGGCACTTCGCCTCCCCGGTTGCACATTCATCACGATCTGCAAAAGGGATAGAAAAAATGACGGGACGTATAGTGTCGTGAATGCGTAGGAGAAAAAGTTATGCGGCAGGGAGTCCATGCTCACTAGGAATGACGAAGACCAAGGTGGGAGTGGCTTTGATGCCCTATTGGTTTTAATGTAAATTATTAACGTCAATCAGCATTTCTTCAGAAAAAAAACGGTAGAAAGTCAATAAAAGTGAATTAAGACTAGAAAGTGCTAGGTTTGGAAAGAGACATCACCTTCACAAGTTCTGCCATCGGCTTGAAGATCAAATCCGGGATTGCAGGCGCATTCAGCTGTTCCCGCTGGTGTTCGAATACACTTTTGCGTGCATCCACCATTCCCGTTTTCGCAGGGGTCTGTCACCTCCAACACTACCCCTGTAAGAGATGGCCAAGTTAGTACTATCGCTAGGGACGAAAAAGAAAACTACTTTGAAAACCAAGGACGTTAAGGCCATTTCGTTGGTAGCAGCTAAACCATGACGTTGTCAGGGGGAAAAAAAGATAACTTCAAGAATGAGGACATTTTACCAATTGTGTCCTCAAACAGTTCAGTCAACAAGTACTTTTACACGGTCGCTACTAGCGTCACGCATATGTGACACTCCGATTTCCTTATCTCACCTTGACATCACATATATCTGGCACAAATTCCTTACCACTTTTCCAAAAAAAATTAATCGATATAATTGCTTTTATTTTCCAAATAAAGCCACCAAGCAACTATAAATTGTAGGCGATTATTGCCATTGACATTTAAGTAGTTGATTAATTGGATGATTGGTAATTGTTTTGGCTTCAATAAATCCTACAGTAGGTTGGCTGTGAAAATAAGTAAAAAAGTGCCCTTCTCGATTAAGAAAAATTGCGTAGATCAAGGCCTCGGATACCTGGAGGTGTTAAAGAAGTCGAATCTGTGGTGTGCTTAGGGAGAGTGAATCTGGAACGAAAAGCACTCAGAGAGAGGCTCTCTGAAGTTCTCGATAGTCTGCAGTCATTCCGCTCATGTTTTATTTGCACCATGAGATCTTTCCTTCATTTTTCATAGCAATAGGACTTTCTCCCCCTCCATCCATTTTATCTCTCGCTCGGCCGACAGATTGACTAGTCCTTACAAGATGACTAGCACAATTCGTGTCAGCAAAAATATGTCTGCGGCCACCGCATTCATAATGCTTTAGAAGCATTAGCCTTAAAAGTTGGAAGTTGACTGTTTGTCCTCTAGAAAATACAACTAGGGAAGAATTCCCCTTTATTCCCATTTGGTGGAACATGCTTCTCCATCCTCGTAATTAAAAATGAAGAGAGCGGGATCTACCTCTAAAAATTATGGAATAACATCAGATTCAACAGAAATCTGATGAGGCCTCAAAGCAGTGGAGAAGGTGGTCAAGAGCAAGTGAACGATCCAAGAGTGATGTCGAGGGCTGTTCTTTTGAGAGATAACTCACTATAGCAAGTTCGTCCATCACTTCCAAGCTGCCATCCAGGATTGCAGTCACAGCTGTATGATCCTTCAACATTGATACAACGATGCTGACATCTGCCATTATTTTTTTCGCATTCGTTGATATCTGGAAGATAAATTGGGTGGTCAGGACAGCAGTGATTATCCAGTAACTAGTTAAACAAAGTCATCCAAGGCAAGAAAAAGAAAGCCAATGGCCACACGTGGTGATGCAATTCGTCACCTCTTAGACAAAACCAGTGAGAAATCGTCTTGGTTATCGGTTGGTGAAGGATGAGCCTGCAACCCAAGCTTTTGTCTGAAAACCTGACCACCATGCACGAATACAAACACAAGGCCCGAGCTTTTGAGGTGATTGACCTACTTTATTACCCTCACAAGTTTTGCATGCACACATGAGAGTGGAAGAGCTAATTTGCTTTGTCTGCATTTAGTGGAATTTACCTATTGGGTAAAGACTTTGAAAAACTAACCTATCAACTGTTTATACCAATTGAGCATTACAAAAGCAACATTAGAATGACACCGGAAGGTCCCTTGGAAAGGTCAGGAGGCGGTAGATATTTATACCTCCAAATGAATGTGAAACAAGTAATACCTCTTCAAGATGGGGCTGAGATGAGAAAACCTTAAAGAGATTTATTTTCATCTTTTCCCCCTCCCTGCCCTCCACTCCCCTTTCCATAGGAGTAACCCCTTCCAAGGGACGACGTTCTTTGGCGTCCTTTTAGTAATTCCTAGCACACTGCCTTTACATGAAAGAACCGCAAAAGGTACTTAAACAACCTCCTCTCTTGATCGACATTAACAAAGGAACGGTAGAAGCCATCCTTTCGAGTCAGCTTTAGCCCAAGGTGTCATCATGTGTGGTTATGTGAGGCCTTGATCAGTCCTGGTTGTTTCTATAAAAAATTTTCCACACATTTTTAAGTAAATTAGGAGAATAGATCACACTGAAGTCGTCTAGCGATGAAATTATGCTTGCCTTAAAAGTGTTAGAAGGGTAGTGAGTAAATGATTTGGGATGGACCGCTGCAACACCGTCGTTATTTCTCATCACATGCCAGTCAGGCGACAATCGACTCGTAAGGGTGAAAGGAGCAGAGAACAAATTGTCAAGCCATACACGACTCATTGGTTTGACAGATGTTGTCATAGGCTCCAGTGGAGCAGACAAGCTTGGCTCACATCACATCCAATCGGCACACTTTTTATGTATGAGACTTCAAAGTGGGTGAAAGGTGGTTAGGAGACAACACCGTGTTGACAAACAGAGTGAAAGTAAATCATTGCAACAAGATGCAAAATCGGTAACCCAAGATTGCTTTTCTTACAAAACACGGACATAGAAAAGGGGAAGTAAAGCCCTTTTGACGTATCAATTCTTCCTATCCCCTTGATGAGCGCCAGGAGAGATCCGACTTCCTCCTCCCCCTTCTCCAAATTTTAGTCTCTTTTAGGAGAGGAGGGTGGGGGGAGGTGTTTACTTTACTAGGTGAAAATGTTTGGTAAGTCAACTTAATGAGTCCACGAGCTGTGCAGAAATCAGCTGAGAAGAACTTCTTGAATGGCCCAAAATACCAAACCGAAGATGGCTTTGACAGCCTTGGGGAAACATGAAGCATTAATGCATGACTTACCAAGGCACTTGTGTGGATCGTAGGGGGAAACTTTGAAGCCTGGACGACAGGAGCAGACTTTGATACCACTTTCGTTTTCACAGTGGTGTTCACAATCTCCATTATCCTTGAGGCAAGGGTTTTCAGCTATAAAAAGTATTAGAAATCCACGATTATGCATTATCATCATGCACCATTGTGACCAGGAGCGCATTATTCTAAACCATGGGTGACTCAAGTGAGAGGTAACCGTGGTGTCTGATTCATTGTCTGCTTGTTTGACTTGACAGATGGCGAAGAAAAAAGAGAAACTATGAGGTCACTTGTTATCCATTGTCAAGGTATAGCGGGCGACATTCATTTGCTTAGTGATCTCCACTGCACCTCTCCACCCATCCTTGCTGCCGTGTGTAAAATAACAGCACGTTAGACAGTACCAAAAGCTTTTTGGCGTGATCAAGCATAGAAGGGGTATCCCTCACCTCCAATGCATCAACCTTTAGATAATTTGATTCATCAATAAGATCAGGGCTTCCATTGGACAGCTTCAGGGCAGTATGTTGAAAAATTGTTCGCTCGCCAAACGGAATTGGAGGCTTATTGAACTCACAAAGAGAAGCCACACCATTAATTTTTTTGGCTACCTGGTAACCTCTCAAAGGGATGGCTGGTAGTCGCAGTGAAATCTAGGCCATGCATTGCACTTGTTAAATTTGACATCCTTCACGAGCAACTTGGTAATAGCAATGAAACAATGGAGCACATATACGCTCCTTCTCCCACTTTGTACGCTTTCAAGAGAGGCTTTTTCTTCTAAATTTTATGGACCTTGTGTTATCTAACCAAGGTACTGTTTTCACACGCTTAAAGCAAATTTGGTGTCTTACACCTAACAATAGATTATTAGAAATTTTTCAGTGATTCCAGAAAAGTTTAGTCTCCACGCAGTCAATTCTATGCTCATGTCCTTCCTTTTGCTTGACATCCACACAGACTGATTGAAAGCGAAAGAATTAAAAAGCGGAACACAAACGTCATCAGGTCTTTGCGATTAAGCTCCCACCTGCGGACTGAAAGTTTGCCTTTCTGACCCAGTGGTTTGTAATGTTCATACATTGTGTGTGTGGTGTGTGTAAGATAGTATGTGAAATTTTAAGTATAGAAAAGCAGATAAGGTCCCCCTTGATGGCCCATACCAAAAAAAGAGAAGGGAAAAAACATAATAAAAAGGGATGAAATGAAGTGAAGTCATTATAACCTACCGATACATCGTTTCTTATCCTCAGCTAACTGATAACCTGGATAGCAGGAACAAGCATAGCGGTAACTGGAAAGAGTTGTACAGATATGCTCACAACCGCCTTTTCCTGGAGGGGCACAGGGATCCATGTCTAAAAATGTTTCCAAGCAAAAGATCACTTATTAACCTATAATCAAAGCACTAGACTACCCTCATTTTTCTCTCTTTTTTTGTACAGTGAACTCAATCATCTGGTACATAGGCCTGGTTCACAAAAAAGCGGTCGCTAATACGGTGGTGAAGTTTGACCTCCAACAAGGCTAGGGTCATTTGTTTTAACAAAAAAGAGGATAAACAATGTATTGGCATTCATTTAATCCCTATTAAACGATAATCAGGTCTATGTTAATATCGATCGCTTAACTTTCGAAAGTCTACTTAATTTCAGACAAAAGTAGTATCTTGATCAACTTTCAAAAATCAATTTGGTTATTTTATAGATAACGAAAATCCCTGATAAAGGAAGATTTGATATTTTCCTAAAAATTTGTTTTCATCTAGCTTTTATCTCTGCCACTCTACGTATCGTGAGTTGGGCCCGAAGTGCATTATTTCCTATCGCTTGTTTGAGTAGCTTTCGGCTTTTAGCCTCTCATTTTTCATCCCAAAACGATTGTTTGCTCGTATCACGGAATCACTCCACACAAATGTGGAGACAGGATAAAACCTACACGGTCGACAGGAAAGTTTGTCATCAGCAAGTATCATTCCCTCTGGGCAGGTGCAACGAAATCCACCTGGAAGATTTTCACAACCATAAATGCAACCGCCGCGGTTGTTCTCGCACTCATTAATGTCTGGAGGAGAAAGTAAAGAAGACAACCCAAATATATATCCGCTTAAATAAGCAAAATATATTATTTTAATCAAGCGGTGAATAATTTCTTCTCAAAATGTTTATTTTGTAGCGCTCTTCCTGCTTTCCATCTTTCTCTAGCTTCTCCCCAACCCCCCAAACAACAAAAAAGGGAGGGTACAGTGATCCTTGTTCTTTGCTAACTTGAGAAATTAAATGCAAATACAGCCGGTGCACATATTTGTGCTTTATTCCTCCATTATTTCCTAAAAATTGTGAATTCGCCTCCTTGAAGTGGCATCTACTTGCGGATTGAAATTGCAAAAATAGAGGATACGAGAAGGGATTTTTGGCAAATTTGAGGTCCGTACTTTAAGGGCTATCAAGGCAGGTTTGTCACATTCTGCAGGCACAGAAAAATATTCCCAATTGTTATCATGATGTGATTTCCCTGTAAAGCACCACACTTTCCCTAGTAAATCACATCAAATTGAAGTATGAGGGAGGAGGGAGTTTAGGAGCTGGATAAAGGAAAAAGAGAGAAGAATAAATTCCTATTTTACTTATCATGGGGCTTTTGGATGTTTTGGCCACCTCACTTAGTCAAAGCACTCATGACTCGTGGATACGACAAGGTGGGGTGGAATTCACTTATTTTCATTTTTATCAAGCCCGGTAGATCAGACCAAAAACGGCAAATTGATGCATTAACTGAAGCGAGTAATTCAACACTTTGCATCCAATTTTATTAATAGGTATTGTGCAGTTACCTAGGCAATGACGTTGATCAGGTGCAAGTCGGTAGCCGGGTGGACAGCGGCAGTAATAACCTCCGGCCATATTGCAGCACTCTCGCTCACATCCGCCATTGTTTTGTCGACACCTATCATCGGCTACACAGGAAAGATAAGAACTGAGGAATTTTGAAACACAAGTCTTAAAGATGGCTTTTCTTTTCAACTCACCATATTGACAACGAGGTCCAGAGTAGCCTTTTGGACACATACAGGTTGTTAATTGTCCATTCTCGTAGCAGATTCCTCCATTAAGGCATTGTGTGGTCTTCAACATTGGATTACAGTTGGACTCTTTGGGCAAGGGGGAGGCGAGGGAGGAGGAAAAACAGTAAAATGAGAGAAATGGAAATTTAATAAAGTACCTATCAAACCAATGTCAAGCATATCTGGAATTTTGCTTAAATAAATTAACCAAAAATTCAAATTTATTCATAAAACGGTTAAATTAATTGTTTAAAAAATTGGAGAAAGTGGCAAGGAAAGGTGGGCCAATTTAAAATAACAAAGGTTAGACAGGCGTTCCGACCCCTTTGTGCCAGACAGCTCAATTGAGAGTAATGGTGATTTTGGCGGTGCCTTCTGTTTTGCACAACTCAGGAGGCATTTTTGAGAGGATAACACACAACATCAACCACCCTGACTGCACATAGGCTAAGAGAAGTTCGATAAGGGAATACGGATACCACCCTAAATCATTCTCTTCTCTTTTGTAATCTTAAAGGTGAGATTTACCTGTCCTCGGCTTGGGAAAATAGGCATTTTTTACCTTCTTTTAAACCAATAAAGTAACTCCAAAATGTTTACACTTGCTCCCTTCTCGCACGCCTTCCTACCCCCCTCTCCTTCCGCTCCTCCCCCCTCTTTCACTGTGCCCATCAAGTTGAAGTAAAACCTGTGTCACGACGATTAATTACACAATTAGGTTTTTTGTTTTCTTTTTTGGTCTCCTTCACGCCTTACTTGGGAGTTAATGCGTGAGGAATTGACTTTAATTACCTATGGCATTTGGTCCAGTCAATCATAACAAAAAAATTGGAATCAGAGGGTGATGAGACACAGAGAGGAGAGGCAGGATTCACTTCTGTTTACCTTTTAAAGCCCTACATACAAGCGAATTAATCAAGGGGGAAGTCTATCGGAGAAAAAAGAAGGAAGAAAAAAAGGAGCAGCATCCAGTTTAGGCAAAGGGAAATGGAAATAATCTCTTACATGTATGGAACTTTTGAAAGTAAATTTCTATTATTTCATCGCTTTTTCCTTTTTTATTTAGAGCCGCAATGTACATAAACTGTTTCCTCCGTGTAATCAAAGAGCATTAACAGCACAGATTCGGGGTTCCCACAAAAAAAGTGGGGTGAATTGGTATAGGATTTTAAAAACATCCATTTTTACCTTAAATAAAGGCATGGCTAGACTTTGACGGTCGTCACCTCGAGCCTAGCTACAGTTTTTAACCCATGGGTAGAAAGATTTACTCAAGGGAGGTTTGACACATTCCAGCGGCATTAACAAAGGATATTAAGGGGCGTTTTGAGGCCTGAAGTTACATTTTAGGAAGTCGTTTTAAACCAATAATTGCCGCCACAAAAAACAGACATTTTAGAACATTTTTTTTTCTAAAAATATGGGTACTTAGTTGGCACAATCCCACTGACAATAGGCCGGTGCTTGATAAATTTCATGATAGCAGAATCTGCCTAGTAGGGAATGCTTGAAAAAAGGAAATTGAATCCATACCTGCAACACATCCTTCAAATCCAGGCACACGAATAAATCCCTCACAGCATTGAATTTTGTCTTGAAAAACAGGCTGGTCAACTATTCTATAGCTGGTAGCTATTTCACGACTACAAAAAAGAGAAAAAAAATATAGTTTGTTTTAGAGTTTATTCAGGCCTCTTTTGACACAAACACCATTAGGGCTCATCGTTTGCAGAGAACTACACATAAAAGGTACTTAAATGATGTGTTTCCATTTTTTTCACAGCGTAGACCACAAGCAGAAGCGCAAATAACAGTTAATGGAGGTTTCGACCACCACACTTCGGTCTTAATTCTCACAACTTGTGTTTAACAGGAAAAAGTCACTATAGGAATACATTTACATCCACAATGAAAGGGAAGAAGGCTATACTTCTCAAATTATGCCAAAGAGAATTAAAACGAGACACACTTTTACAAATCAAGGGTTATGAGCTATTGTAATGCGCCGAATGTCTGTTCAACTCTCAATTTTGGTAAATAGACCATTTAGGTCCTCCATTATTGTGTCTTCTCAGGATGACTAGGCCTTCAGGCCATGCCAGTAGCCCCAATCCCTTCTGTAGGTCGACAATACATATTCTTCCCAAGTCGTATGTCTTCTTTGGTCTTCAGAGAAGTCGCAGAGTGCTATATTAGTGGCAGCAGAAAGCGAACCTGATCCTTAAGCACATCCATCATGATTTCTACTGCGGGGTGATGAACCTTATCGGTACGGAGGAGGTGCACATACTGCAGATAAGGGAATCGCTGACGACCACTAGCGAAAGGGACAAAAATGGCGTCAGCCTTCGGCATTTGCCACGGTCCCGTGGTCTGGAGGAAAGCTATTAACAACTGAAGTGACACTAGTTGTAAACCATTGAAAAATTGTTTATTACGGAGCTGTCGATAGTACCCATATGAAGATATCAAATATGTGAACGCGCTATTTCTCCTCCACCTCTCTACTGGTTGGATGGAACTTAGATAGGTAAGGCTGGGTAGTGGTAAAGTGAGAACATCGTGGCAAGGAGGGATGGACGTGATACCTTACCTCTACAGAACTACATTAAACTCCGTCCTTGCTATATGGCCCTGTCTTTAGGCCAGGGTTTCCAGGAGTAGCAATGGACAAGCCTGTTGGCCAGCACATTCCCCCTTCCCCGATACAGTTCCCATGCAGGACAAGTCTCCATGTGCAGTAGAATTGCCAAGGGGAATAAGTGACATTACAGTCAAGCATCTGCTCAGTAGCATAGAAATTCGGTAATTGGCAAGGTTGGATCGTTAATGTTTTACAACACCGATTACGTTGCTATGGGTGGCATAGGCGATTGACCAATGGGAGCGCCGGAAAAGACGCTCAAATTAGGGAGCGGTTTACAATACACTGGCTGCTTGTTTAACCCTCGGTTTTGGTAAAGGAACCACTTAGGTGGTCCGCCATTATACCTTTACAAGGCAAGCTGGCCTGTGAGCTATGACAGTAGACTTAAGCCCTACTGTACATTGTCAATACGCATTCTGCCCAAGTACCGTGGCTTCATTCGTTTTTACGGAAGTCCAAGGGCGTTACCCTATACTGGATGCTTGAGGTTTAAAGATTCTGGACTTGGCATTGAAGGAAGTAAACTTTTTAAATAGATTCAAATACTTACATGGTTTTTTTTAAAAATAATTCATGGGTCCACATGATTTAAATTTGATTAAGTCAAAAAAACTCATGTCGAAATGTGAAACTGCATTAGATTAACAATCCCGAAAGTAAAAAATTAAAAAATGGGAAGGTTTTAATAGGTTGATGCACCAATTTTCAAGCCTTTCTAAAAAAGGATGTGGAAGTAGATATTTCTATCTGATCGGGAATTGACCAAAAATAAGCCAAATTTTTAAATTAGTAAACCGACAACCAATAGAATAGAGGCGGCAAAATTCGCCTCCGTTTAGATACGAAAAATTCCCAAGTAAAAGGAGAAAATCTCACGTGTCCTAAATCATCGCTTTTCCATGTCAGGTTGACAAGATTAGTACACCTTCCTTGTCGCAATTTAATCCTTTAAGTGTTTTCGTGCCAGACAAACTAATGCTTTAATAAGACACCTAATTTGTTTTACCTAATAAAAAAGCAAAGGATTATATAAATTTTGTTTTTTTCAAAAAAAGATACTTTAAGTTAACCTGGTAAAGCAGATTACACAGACCATGGTCATAGCATCGCATAGAAAAGTTTTGGTCGAGTTTACGCAAAGTTGACATCTATCCAGCAGGTCGTCTCCTGCCCTTTTGGACTCAATTGGCAACTGCAAATTATGCGATAAAAAAAAAAACAGAAAAGGCTGTCGGAAAGAACTTGAACTTACCGTTGCTCGTCTACTTTACACCAAGTGCCTTTCGCACCGCAGTCCTTCTTCCAAACTGGATAATTTTTGTAATACGGCACTTCGAAGTGTTCCCACACACGAATCGAGGTCTTGTACTGAAACCGGCATACATTTGGCCTACAACAGTAAAAATGAGCAAACTTTAGAACAGAGGCATTAAAATTGGTGACTTTTTCACAAGTGTGAAAATCTGCCTCACCAAAGGCGTTGTCAAGGCAATTTGCCTTAATGTATGGAACGTGTTCAAATGCTGGAAACAAAGGACTTTACGTAGATCAGGGAGGCAGATTACACAGACCTCTTCCGGTTCTCACAGATCGGGCTGTGCACATGTCACCTACAGCACTGCTTGAAAGTCGTAACTCTTACAATATCTTCCAAATCAAGCATTATCTTCTATCCGAGATGGGAGAAAAAAATTGGCTAATCTACATCAAATATCACCTATCAGCTTCTTAGCATCGGGCTAATGTTAATGCCTTTCTTATTTCCAGCCAAACAAAAAGCATACTTAGATGTAAGGGGAATAAAGAAGGGAATTAGAGGTGCTAATTAGCGCTTAAATTAGCACCGCCTGTCAGTGCATTAACCTCGAACCCGGATGGACTTTTTATCCTCGGTTCGACGTCGCAGTTAGCGGTAGTGAGTTACGCCTTTTCATGGTGTAGTACATCCATCTTGTTGGCCTACATTAAATAAGCTAGGCACCAACTTCCACAAAATTGAATATGCGCATTTTGTGAAATTTGAAAGGTTCACTTTTTTTTAATAATCCATTGGACAGACCGGAAGCAACAAAAGCTCGCTCAGCGATTTGTCGAAATCCATCTGGCTAACCTAAGGGAACTCAAACACCCTAGTAAATTACAGAAATTCATCAGACAGACATGAAGCAATTTACTTTCTCTCATAAATTTGTCATGGAGAAATGTTTTATCAGATTGTTAATTGCCTAAGAGGTACGTGGAGCGCAGCCCTCGGAGTGGTTAGTAAAAAGAGGTGGAGAGAGGCGGGAGTGGCTATAACAGACGCCTTATTTGTTGAATACCAAAAGCGTCGTTTAGGCGGCATAACTTACAGAGCAAATAATGAAATATATGCGAATGTAGGTCGTCTTGACAACTAGCACAAAACATTGTTTTACTGGTGTACTCATATGGTAGCTGTCAAATACATCGACTTGACCGTCCTAAATTAGAGTAAATTAATCAGTTTATCAGTCCATTTTTTGAAATCGTAAATATAAACAATACCTATTCATTGTCAATTTCTACATTATGATGAATGGAACGATGGGTGGTGGAGGGAAGAAGGAGGAGGAAAAAAGGTAGCGTTTTTGTGACCTGATGATGTTGTCAAGCCACGACGTCCCTATCAATGGCACCCGTCATCTACCCTTCAAGTGCACACACGTCAAATCAACTTTTGACAATTAAGCCTCATTTTTTTGTCTCGCATTCTTCAAATTGGTGGGGAAAGAAACGATTGGGAAGTTGTTTCAGACGATGTCGAGGTATAACTTAAGACTACACAGAGAGAAGAGGAACTAAAATGGAATTGTTTCTTTTCAACGCTAGTAAGTGGAGAGAGAAAATATGTAATTATTGATAAGGCGAGAAGTCGGTTTACTTGGAAGTACTAGGGACGCAAAAATGAGGCATCTGTGTCAGTCACCTTTCACCATCAAGTCTGCCTAAAAAGTTGCATCGCCGGTGTGGTAGCAAGGTTTGTTTTGCTTCCTTTTTTTCGCCTTCCAAATCCTTTGGTCATTTTGTCGTTCTGTTCTCTTTGTTTCCTGTCTCCTTTCTTCAAATTTCCTCAAGGACTTCTTCAAAAGGCTCTTGATGGTAGTACCTTGTGTGTTATTACAATTTTCTCACGCCGTACTCTCTGGGTTCAAGAGATTTTCACAGTGAGATCAACGAGGCCATGAACCACGCAAATAGGATTACAATGCATCTTTTATTCCTTCATTCTTACAAGCAAAATGAAAGTTGCTTTAACACTGTCAGCTTCTAGTCATGTGAAAATCCAAAGGTGTTTGTGATCTAGACAAAGACAGGAAATTAGGTAGTCAAATAGCCTACGACGGAGTCTGTGCCAACGCATTCTGCCAATTATTACGGAAGCGCGTACACACGCACATACAAACCGGTATATTCTTGCATTATCGCATGCCTGTGCCATGATTGAGTAGCATGCTGGGTTACAGGGAACATGATAGGTTAGTCGTGGCTCTCCTTCTCTCCATGTGTGTGTGTGCGAGAGAGAATGTCCCCACTGTGCCACTATCAGCATCATTGTCTGCTTGTATACTAATGAAAAGGTCTAACATTGCCCCTCATAAGGCCTAAGAATCCGCTGCCAATTATAGTGAAGCGGGTATAAAGGCATGCGAGTTGCTTGCACATCTGCCCCTCTGAAAATACTATATCCATTTCACTTTTTCACTCTTTTCTCCTTTTCTAGTGTCAACAAGTGGTACGCATTAGGGAGGGGCGAGGAGGGAGCACGCAAATCTACCCAAGGGAACAGGGGACTCCCCCTCCCTAACCTAAGAAGTCCTCCCAACTCTTCATATCCGATTTGGTGCAGTTTGCTCAAATCTCTCCCCGTGTGTGTGCATTAACACAAAGTTTACGTCAATCCTAAAACTAATTTTACAATCAGATGATAAAAGTCTAAATTTGTATTTCCTTTAAATAAATTGTGTTAATGTGCGTTTGTGGATTTACTTACGTGGACTGAGTCAGAAGACACTCTCAGAGAACATATTATTCCCTATTTATAACCATGCCTTAAATCTACTATATGGCAAATGAAATACTATCATCTCGGTGGAGTCGGTGAGGTGGATGCTATCAGCCTTGTGTGAGATCTTAAAGGTAAATCCAATGAGTGAAATTAAACCAATCAAATTAGCCGGAATTAAACTGTAACCTTCCATTTCAACACCTCCTTGTGGTGTAGGCGAAGTTAACCACTTAGAGGGGACTAGGTAACTAGAAATAATCAAAAACGACGTCACATTGGATTGCCGTCAAGAGTTATTAGCAAAAATGTAGAGGAAGTGTGAGATGAGAGACTCTAGAAGTATGCTGAGACAAAATACACCAGAATGGCAAATTTGCATTCTCTCGTTCCTCCTCTTTTGCAAAGTTATACTAAAGACAAATTCATTGGCCTTACGAGAGATAAGAGCCGAATGGGAAACAGAGACGATGCATCCGTCTAAACAGCATCAATTCTCGTGTGGTATAGCAAAGTGTGACTGTCTCATGTAACAAGGGAGGGTTTGCACATGCATCAGGTATCATCGGGTGGTAAAAAGTATCAAAGGATCTGACAGCTACATGTCGGCTGCATGGAACCACCTTGAAAGAATATTTTGCTTGCCATTCAATGGGGATTTCCCAAAAAATTTTCTAATGGAATAACGAACTAAACTTATGCTTCTATATAGTATTTCTGCGCCCGAAAAGGGAATGATTGCTTTGTGCTCTCTCAGCGGCCTGTCAATCAAGTAGATCGATCTTTCATGGTATGTCCTCTTCAATGATGTTTTATTGTATGCAAAATTTGACAAGCCTGACCTCTGAAAGACTCGGAGACAAATACTGAAAGGCTGGAATCTGGTTCTAGACAGCTGACAATAAAATGCCGTATGGGGAAGTTATAATCCACGAGAGAAGAGATTGAAAAATGAATGCAAATGCAGTAGTTTAAAAGCGAAAAGGCACTCAATAGAATATTCTTACATTCCCAGACGCAATTCCGGTTCAGTCGGTGTCTGCTGAATGGTTTCATAGTCAAGAGGATAAGGAGTGCCACCACTTGTCTTAACTTTTGTCAGCGATGGAGTTAGCATCCTTCGAAATGGCCTAGATCTGGTGGAGTAGATAACCGTTCTCAAGTTTGAGACATTCTGTATCGCGGGTGTAGTGGGAATGAGGCACAAGAGGAGGAAGAGAAGGTGGAGATGGATGAGGTAGCGATCAGAGGGTTTCATGGTGGATTCGAGAGAAGTGCTCCACCTTCTTGACGTTAAAATCCCCTTTTCTGCTTATACTATTGATACGCGGTATTGAGGATGCTGAGTAATCGTCCTAACCGATGATCTCACGGTTGGGTGCCTGCAGATGCACAAGACCTGACACTCCTCTTGTGTGCGTCTTGTCTGTCTGCTAGCCTGCCTTGCTATTGGTTGAGCCTGTGCGTGCCTACTTGCGCACGCATACACCTGCTGGCGACACGGTGATTGGCTGAGTGCTCTCGAGTTCACTTGGCGAGGAAATTGACTCGCACGCTCTAACGCGCCCACGCACACACGTGGTAGCACAAATTCTTCGGGTCAAGATGTTCCGCACCTTTTCGCTTAACATGGATGCAGCTGAATTCTTTTTTTGTGTCGCAGGAACTACCATCACTTATGTGACCAGATGAGGTCAAAGTCTTGGTTACGTGCATCCACTGACTTCTCAGCACGACTTTTACGATTGCTTCAGTGATTCATTGGTCCTTTTTAAATAACCGTAACCTTTAAGGTAATCAAATCAGTGAGATTGAGTGATACTTGTGAAGTTTTACATCACCCACGTTTTAGGGAGCTGATATCTCCTAGAAGACGACAAAATGACAAAATAGTGACGTAAATTTAATCTTTTAATTCCACATTATATGAGTTTAAAATGGAGTCCCTCTCGGGTTGTTGAAAAAAGGATAAGGAATGGAGCCCTGATTTTGAAATGAACTAGCAGGCACTGAGGAGGCTTAAAATTGTCCTTCAAAATGGCATTTCTCATTGGTAATTATGTACATTTCAAGACTTAAGTAACGCCGCATAACTGCTAAGAAAGGTCATAAGACTTTGACGAAATTTATGCCTCGAGTATACACCGAAAAGGTTACTCAAAAGACCGCAAGAACTGGGTGCTACTGGCTAACCCTTGGCCACATTAAACAAGAATGGACAACAGAATGCCAATTTTCTAAGTATCAACTTTATAGCTTGGATTTTGAGCGGTTTTGAAGGGTCTACCACAGATAACTCGTTATCTACCAATGTTACACATTTATGACGCGTGCTACTTACCGTATCACAAGCAGTGACTTTAATTTCAAGTCATAAATTAGGTGTGAAAGCTCCTTTGACACCTGTATGATATTAAGAAAGGTAAGAATTACATATTTTTCTGGTTTATAATGGCCGAATTTCCCCCCTGAGATCATGTCTCCGGATTGGCTAATCGGAAACACGCACCGAAGTGGAGCTTTTCAACTCCCGAATGAGTGGCCTCCTCCTTCACTGGAATGGTAGATTAGGCAGAGTGGTGGTGGATCGATATATTGTCCAAAGGCGCCTTAGCCCTTAAATATAAAGGTTGAGGAGGTCATATTTTATGCATTTTTACGACTCACAAGCCTCGAAACTATAATCGCACAAATGAGTGCGATAGCTGTTTAATTCTGCTATCACAAAGCACTTAGTCCCGTCTTTTAAATACCGCCTAATAAGCAGTAATTAAGAGGTGTGAATAAGGTAATTCGCTTTCCAGGTCTTCACATGATCATGTAGGTGGTTTACGAGGTGTTTTTTGGTCTTGGTTGAAGTCTTTTAAATTCATAAACAGTATGCACAACTGTTATAAAACAGTATATTAAGAGGCTATACTTGAAAAAGTAGTAAAATACCTTACAAATGATAATCCAAAAGCTTGAGAGGCTTCTGTATACCTTTGTTGTGATTTGTTGATAATTGGCAAGCACATGCGATAGCTGATGTGCAAGCTTTATAAGTTTCCCCATGCTCCCACCGCTGTCACTTTTCTTTTACTTTAAAGAGTAGATTCCGTCTTTTTTTTGGTGTTTTTAAAGTTGGCAGGACTTTATTGCCTAATTTGTTGCATGGCGATGGTGGGAATGTACTGAAGAGAGCGACGACATACGCTCAAATGGTGTAATCGGGTACCTGCTACTTCACACGCCATCAATTGGTTCCTCACATCCTCATGATAAGATTTGGACTGATTAGAAAGGACTACCTACTGACTGACTTATTTGTAATGCATAATGGTCTTTCGACTTTAAAGGTAAGCTAACATGCATATTATTACTTATCATTTTCCGATGATACTTACTTTAAACACCTAAGACTAGCACTAGTTCATCACCGGGAATTGTTCACTTGCCGAAGCACAAATGACAGAGAAGTTTAAGACCTACCCACTCGATTAATCTTGCTACAACCTGAAAGCAAGCAGGAAGGAATCTTTTCACAAATAGCTAAGCTTAATGAGTCAGTTGGGGGTAATTGCATTTCCCAGTGTGAGTTACCAGAATATCTCACAATGCTAAACTCACTCTTACGAGGACTTCGTACCTCTGCCCCTCCCATCCCGCCTTTACTTGCTGCTAGACAATCAAGTGCCAAGTAGATCATTTAGAAATAAAAGGGGGAGAAGGGAAAGAAGGTAACTAGACGCAAAAATGTTTAACAGAAGTGGAAGTCATAAGGTGAGTTTTGAGGTTATTTAGTTATTCCTTTTACTATAAAACTTCAAATGAACACAGTTAATTATTTTATAAATGAATTCCATGTGAGAAAATAGGAAATATAATGAGTAAAGACTTTAGAAACACCTCTTCTAATTGAAGTCTAAAACCAGACAATACTATAATGTAGAATAGTTATCGACATGAATTCAAATGCTTAAGACCACTAGTACCAAATAATATGTTTATTTTTTGTTGGTAAGTCATTTCGAATAAGATATTTGGAACAAAATAATGGAAGGAATATTCGACTTTTCCATGATCAAAAAACGAGGATTATCTCTTTTCACTTTGTATTCTATTATTAGTTCATCTAATCGCCTCTAATTTGTGCAAAACTACAGTATAAAACATAAACTATTTATTTGAAACTAATTTTTACCTCAATTTTGAATTCGCATGCCATTAATGTATTCTTTGCTGCTTCTCATGCATAAGAAGCCTTCTCTTAACCGCCCAATTTGATTACTTAAAGTCAATTGTATAGCATAAATAAAAAACTCTTCAGATTTCTAGCATCATATGTGGATTTGCTAGTTTTGCCTTCAACGTCACAAATATGTGACATGGGATTTCAGTAGATCGAGTGGTAAACAAATTAGTAAGGCGCGGTTGAAGCGGTCACTTCGGGAGTGCTGATGTTGGTACTATGCTGTTTGCAGAAATTCTTGTGCAAAATAAGGGAAAAATATGTCTCACTCATTTATGGATTGAATATTTACTTATTAAAATAATTTGGTTTTTTGGATTATACCTAAATGAGGAATACCCATACGTTGATTAACCACGCACACCAAAGAGCACGCCATGGGTAGCAGCCGAATCGTTTGGTCTACAAAAGCGTCTTCTCATAACAGTATGCAAACAATCTTATCCAGTCAGCTCGTTATTACATTTGTGACGTAGTATAATAAACGTGCTGTTATCGGTTGGGGCTTTTGGCAAACATTTGTTTAACGTCTTCCTCGATTTTCCCTTCCAAACTTTTTCACCACTCGCGCCAAACATTACCAAAAGCTGCCCTTGACAAGTTAATCTCGAATCGACGCAACGGTAGTTACTCGAATTTCTTTACAGTGTATCCACTTTTACAGAATTCATCATCAGGATCAGACTTTTAAAGTATTTATGGGCAGTTAGTCGTTCCACTACCACATCATCGTCACCGATGTGAGAACCAAGTTGGCTTTTCCAGGCGGACAACCTCGAGCCACATCACATTCAATCGAAATAGCACAAAATGAATGTTCAAAGCTGGAGGAGAACGGTAGAGATCACACAGGGGGCATATTCATCCATACCCTGTAAGGTGTTTTCAAGCTGTAGCAAGTCAGTAGAGTGTACTATACCATGATTTGATCACCATAAAACTTCCTGGTCTAGTCTGAGACAATGATAGCAAACAGATACTTTAACTAAATCTAAATATTTGTAAACCATTCAAAACACGTTAAATTTCAAAATACCCTATTTTTTCAAATCCAAGAGAATGTTGTACCTGCTGAACAGCAGTAGCATAGTGTAAGGCATGAGCGTATAACAGGTGACCCTTAAGGCTAAGCAAAATTCTAAGACTGTCCAGAATTTTTTCACGCATGACCTTTTGACATCCTTCCACACGTCTCTAATATGATTTTACTTATAATAACTAGTAGTATTCCTAATAGCAAGATTTTTTATAGAACGAATTCAAAGGTCAAAATTGTTAGGAAGATGAAGAACGCAATTTCCCACCCAATTTTGAAGGGATACTTGAAGTTCATTTTGCGGAATAAAGGACAGCTTCTGCCCCATGCCTTAGAAGGATTTATAAGATTGTATTCCTGGCACGCCTTAAAGAGCCACAATGAGATCTCCTGTTAAAAGATATGCAAAAAAAAACCGAAAAATTGTATTGTATAAAAAATTTTGTAAGGCACCATGCTTTGGAACCGACTCACTTGGTTCTACTTCCATGATAATTAGCTTCTCTTGAGATGACCTCATACAAATGGCGGAAAAATATGTATGTATGTATGTATGACACGGATTCTTTTGTTTGCTTAAGTTCGCTGTGGTGGCTCGGTTGCGCCTACATATCAAAGAGGTTTATGGGTTAAAAGAGATAAGTATATTTTTTGATAGAGGAATTTGGGAAAGAGTTGACCTGTGGCGATAGCAATTTCTCCACGGATAGATCCACATCCTAGGGCAGACGCTATCAGGAGCGAACGTCGCAGTGCTTGCCCTTATGCCCTTCTGTCATTCACCTAGACAGCTGTCTGGCTTCAGTCTACCATGAAACTCGAAATAAGCAGATCTAGACGATCGTCTCTCTACTGCTCATTCCGGAAAAGGGGTCGCAACCTAACCTTCTAGAAAATTCGGCTTAAATGATTAATTCCCAAACATTTTAGATCACTCTATTTACACTCATGTTGAGGTATCCCCACTGGAAAACACGGTGTGGAGATAAACCAATATTTACTGTAAGGTCAAGGCCATCCAAAATGGGAAAGTTTATAAATCGAGATCTCTAACAGTCCAGCCGAAAAGCATGCCACCGTTAATGAACTCTCATACTGATATCGTACTCTCTCTCTCTCTCTCTTGGTTATCTAGGCTGGAATCTAGTCAGTGTTCGTGCTTACACACGTACATGGAAGGTCATCTCAACCTTAGAAGTCTTTCTTCTCTCCTTCTTTGGTGCTGCCAATTACTGGGCGCTTGGAGCACACGGAATCCATCGCCTTTCCAAAATCATCCTAAACCATCTTTTACTTCACTCGAAGAAGACTTCTTGAGAAGGTGAACTCTTACCCCACCTCCCACATATAATACTTAAGGACGTGAATGTCCACATTTCGCCTCCAATGTTATTTGCGTTTGCAGTTCACAGCCTGCTTCATGTAAGGAGCAAAAAATTTTTGTACTACATCCTTACCTCTGCAAGCTTACTAGATAAGATTGGTTATATAGCATTTCCAGATAGGATCAGTTACCACTCCTTCTCTCAGACAGCCACCACGAATGATCGAAATTCATTCCTTGTTTCAAAATATGTTTTTTCTCCGAAGGTCATGTGATACTACGTTCCATTATTTCAAGGAACCAAATTTGCACACCATTTTAGGTGTGACTAGGGGTGTATGCTACCTAAATGGCATCGCTGGAATCTGTCCTGCAGATTCGCGAGTCATCGTTGAAGTCGTATTAGGGCATAGATGCATGGAAGAACATATATTACTAGCTTACAGAAGGGATAGACGATAGAAGCACAGGTTGTGGAGACTGAAGAAGCCGATCATTTAAATCGTACTTTTTTCTTTTTTGGAGTTCCGCCCAGTTGATGTTGTCCGCTTTGACCATCACAGAGTAGACGGTGTTTACACACCTACGGGAGTGAGAAGACATCTCTCTGGCTTCATTGTTTCTGGATTTTTTGCTCTCTCTGTAAACTGAGTGAAACAGAAGGAAAAACTGATTTCGACCTGTTCAAGGCTGGACGATACTCAGTGCGCCTTGGCCACCTATCCGGTGACTAGTGCATATGATCCGAGAAGCTCAGAGTACGGATATCTATAATCTAGGTCAGCTCGTGGGGTGTCTGGTCTATCCTAGAAGCCCAGTCCATGCCTTTATGGCCTACTGCGCAAAGAAATGCTAAAAGGGATACACTTTTTTCCGTGAAAACGATGAACAACACATAAACCTCCATGGACCTATAAAACTGAGGATGTTGAGCACACAGTAAAAAGGTAGGTGGGTTCATTGTCACATTAACCCATTTCAGGACTTTACAGACATTATTGAAGCATCAATTATCAAAGAGGCCGCTTCACTTCTATTTTTTGTTCCGCCTTGCAAAGATATTTGATGTTTGTTGAGTTAACTGCGTAGGTTTTCCGCCAAATTGATCTAGTGAAAATATGTCCATGTCTATGGTCTCTCTCACGTTGCCAAGTTTTTAAACTGGGAAAGGGGGTCAGTTCGCTCCAGATATCACTAATCAGACTGCCAGACATCAGTAATGGTGACTGCGGCTATGCTGCAATGCGTGGTTATGTACGGTGTCTTTTGCCATGGGAGATGTAAAGCTTGAAACCACAGGTACCCACTCTTATCCACAGAAAACTGCACGCGAGATCTGTTTCACGATGGCCCCATGTCTATCCATCAGAAAGTTCTCCGAGCTCACTGATTTCCAGACCGTAGCAGTCATTTTTTCATCTACTTAGCGCATAGAATGCCTGTCGAATTCCCTGCACCTAATAAACGCACGACTTGTGATGAAATTTCATAGTGACTATTTTTGCCTTGGGAATGGTGACTAAAATATAGCCATGTACGAGCGTAATAACTTCACAGGAGCACTTCGTTGATGATGTCTTTTGACGAAAAAGAGCAGGATTACATGAAAGAATGCCTGGAAGCGTGTTGAGGTCAACGTTTGGGACACCGATGTCGAAGTGAAACAGCCTCGTGCTAACGAATGCACCTGTGGGTACATTGGCTGAACGTGATGGTGGTGGTGGTCACTTTTACCAGAAGGGGATGATAACTCCTTTGTTTGTTTGCTTGACAGGCTTAGTCACATGGCACGATAAGTTTCTCTCTGTTATGCACATCCACCCCCTCACTACCAAAGGGGAAGTTAAACAAAGCAGCGAAACCTTCTTCTCTGCGAGTTGCATTACCATCATCATAGTGGCATAGATAACTCTTATGCTTGCCATTTTATCACTGCTGGGATAACTCGAAATTGTATATCGATGGTAGCAGTAAACCACTTTGATCCAGGTGAAGAGGAAGCCTGATTTTAATTCCAAATCCGATAGTCATTGATGGCGTATGTTGTAGAGGAATTAGCCTACAACGAAGCAATGAAGGCGAATAGGGTCGGTGTCAGCTTCTTGCAAGCCTTCGATTCCTGCGTTCTGCACAATAATCCCTAGCCTCCCAGCTCTTAGTACATATGTTGCCGAGAAAGATGGTCATGTGGCAGCCAGAAAACACTAGCCACATCTACAGAATTCATGCCAGAGTGGGAGCCTCTCTAGGGTGCCTGACGGATGATCATAGCACACAGAGGCTCGGTGAGGTCGAGTCTACATTACGAATCAAGAGTAAATCATTTCAAAATTTACAAAAGCTTCATGTAGAATTTAGCAGAAGTGTTGGAAGAAGTTAAGACAGCAGGAGTTGATGGGTTAAAGCACTTCATGGAGGAGGGAAGGCTCTCTATTCTTGATCATGACGAATCGAGTGATACTTTTGATGCGTTATTTGGTGACTAGTTTCAAGAGCAACCCCTAGTAGTGAAGCAGCCAAAGTGAGTGGCAGTGTAGGTGGTTCACACCTACACTACCTCTATAAGGGAAAGTCATGATGGAAGCTAACCAAATAGGTTTCACCCACATGCCTTACCAGATGATAATAAGTCACTTCACTTCTTTTAAGTACGCCGAGAAAGAAAGTGGAGATGAGAAATAGCTTTTGTCTTTCAAAGTCAAAGATAAAGGGATTGGATACACCATACATTTGCTTTGTGTGTGTAGATACTTTGTGGATAAGATCTATCGCCTTGAAGGGACATCTCTCGACCATGTATTGGAAGAAAGTCCTATTCTTAGTCTCGCACGTCAACGCAAGACCCCAACCTCCACCATCAAACCTACTTACTAGTAGGAAGGTTTGCACTTTTCGGTGGGAGAAAGCTACTGCGTTATTCTTTACTGTACTTCTTAAATGATATTTACCGTTTTTTTTGGTGTTTAGCGTTTACAAGAGTATTATCAAATGGAATGTAGAAAATAGACAGCAGGGAAGTAAAATAGGTAAAAAAGAGGTGGCTAGGGTCATCTTATTCCACCTTTAGGCGAAGTTTGCTTAGAATACTTTAAAAATAACGACACATGATCACAGACCTTCTTTTTTCGTGATAGAAGTGACTAAATCCAATCGCTCTTGTCGAAACGGTTGGGCTAAATATCCTTCGTTGGGTATCGTAATTAGGAGCTTTCTCGTGCTAACTTTCTAGAAGACCCTATTTGCAAGTCGAGTTCCCTCTTTTCTTGTCAAACACCCAGCCACATTTGAACCCTTTCCCATTTGCACTCTCTTGGAGTTCGCTTCATCGGGCAAAATGACGTGGAGGCAGTCCATGCGTGTTAATTAATGACCGAAAGGTCAAGGCCACTCAAGCTGACGGAAAGAGGTAAGAATGGCGGCCATCTCTATATTCTGGCAGTCAAGTCAGTAAAAACTTACACGCACTCACAGTGTTGGCAGAAAAGATATCTATGTTAGCATTTTAGTTCTTGGTTAATCTGATGGCGTCCCTGACGGTGCCTCGTGCTCATATGCGTGCATAGCGGCGCATAACCGCTAAAATGGCAAACAATTGTTGGGGTGAATTTATCGTGGTTTACGATGATGCATCTATTCGGCCTTCTTTTTTAAGCTGCAAAGAAGAAAGCAGCTGTTTTAGCACAAGCGTTCCATTTCGCTTCCCGCAAAGGAAGTATCATCCGCTACCATTTTAGTTTGCACCAAACAAACACATATTAGTCTACTTCGAAAGTAGCTAGTAAATAACACATTCACTTCATCTCGGGATGTCTAGGTGGATGGTTCAATTACATGAAAGAAATTGTCTGCCATAAAGCAATTTTTAAAGATGATCAAACAATCTCCTACGTCCCAGGAGGAGTAGACAGCCAACACTCGGATGGTTCATCCAACGAGACAAGAGCATGATGTGATTTCCACCTCATTAAAAAACGTTTTGTCACTAGACTCCAGTCCCCAGCCCCTTGCGTTTTTATCCCACTTTGGTTGTAACATTATCCTGTCTGCTTCTAATGCGCACATTGAACAAAAAAGAACTATGATTACACGGTTAGATACGCAGGGAATGTGGAGGATAACAATGACGCCAACAGTGAGGTAAACAGCCTTATCTCCTTCAATCCCTCCATTCTCAAGTCCAGTATGCAGTCCTTACACGAGTCAGTTCTGCAACAATATGACACCTTCCATTGTCGTTTGAGGTCACCGCTTTCAGGAAATGCTCAGCAATGATTTACTAGCAATGACTAATTTTCAAGGGAACATCTTTCCTGCACAATTTGGTCGATGCCAGATTTGTCGTACTAAGGTGGTAGATCCCAAAATTACTTGTTTGCTCTTCCGCAACTGAACAATTCACCAAACATATGCACACACATCTAGTTATTCGGAGATTAGGTGGTGCTTCCTCTAAAAGTGTGGAGTGAGAAGTGAGTGGATGATTTGGAGACAACCCATGGCATGCTAGTTCACTTATTCGTTTTACCTCTGTCCATGAAAAGCCAAATTTATCATACATCACAAATTAGTCTATTAGCAAGCAATCTACTCAAGGGGTTTTAAAAAAGATTGACAGTGCAAAAAAAATTCTTTAGTAGAATTACATACATGACGTTACTCAACACAAAATGAAATATTAAATCAAGAAAGTATCAAATCTGTCTCATGAATGGTTCTACTTCAGGTGAAGGCGAATAATAACGGACACCATCGAGAATAACGCTGGAGGCAGAAGAGAAGCCTCAGAACGGTAGAACTGACGTTCAAGTCAAACTGTGACTTGTGATTTGATATCGGAAAAAAAATACTTTTCACGAAGTAAAAGCCTTAGTAATTCTTCCATAAAGCCTAAGCTAGAATTATAAATTTATTTCAGCACTTAACTTTTGCCTGTAAAACATTGACATTGAAGGGTTGTAGGGCTGCTGTAAGACAATCTGGCCCACTTCCTAGTCCAGCGTACTCACTCTTTATAAAGCGATCAGCCTCCTATGCAATTTCTTAAGAAAACATAACATAAATGCGCCAATTAGGAGTTCCAAAAGCTGTCGGTCTACTACCAGGAATAAGACTTGTGCAACGTGGGTGAAAACACAGTTACAACGTCCGGAACATGAGTAGAGCTCTCCGAAACGCTTACCCTAATCCACATATCCTACTATTGTTCAGCGCCCCCATTATACCTTTAGACGCCCTCTTTGCCTACAAGAAGTTGCAGATATGATGAACGGTGTCTAGGATGGTCCGCGCTCTAAACGCGTACATGGCACCTACTACTGTGCGTATTATTGTCACGGCAGGGTAGCATTTTACCCCACGTTTTCAAATCACAGGTGCCAGTTTGACTTGAACGTCCATCATGTCTACTGGAGCCTTCACAAGTAGCTCAAAATAGAAATTCCGTGTACAAAATAGCAAATCTCAATAATTTCAACTTAAGGTACGGCAATTTGATTCATGTTAATGCAGTAATAATTAATTTCCTCTTCCTGCAAAATGCCATACCATTTTCACGAGATAGGACCACGTTACATGAATAAATTAAGCAAACGCTTCTGCCTTTTTCAAGAAAGCCCAAGAGTTATTTTGCTAATGAAGAAAAAAGCAAACGGACCAAAAGTAGCCGAAGTGCATTAATGCTTGCAAAGCTGTCAACTCCATCAAGCAGCAAAAGGCTTCTTACCCCATTCTCTACCCATCCCACCCTATCTACATAATTCTTCCTCACTGGTAGTCGCATGGAAAAAAAACTTACTTAGGCGCCAGGCTTTATAATCCCTGTCTATGGCCTTCTGCGTTCGCCATGTAAAATGCACGCTCCACTGCTCTCCGCCTGTTGTGAACTGTGCCGCCGACTGCTATAACCGCCATTTCCTGTAGGCCCGAGTGGCCTGGGTCCTATCCAGAGCACTAACTGGCTGGTCAATACAGCCTTTATTGATTATTGCCTGTGAGTCATAGCACTAACGCGACGCACGCGCATGCGCCCAGCGGCTGACCAATGAGGACAGCCCGAGCAGGCGTCTAGATTTGAGTCATTCAATTAGCTCACTTACGCGACTAAATGACCCTGGGACTTGGGTGACTATTAGCCCACTTAAAGTCCCGCCAAAGCAATCTCAGCTAATCAAAAGGAAGTGAGTAAATATCTAGGATTTCAAGGAGGGATTTTACAGAGGTTTGCTAAAGTAACTACAAGAGCGTATTTTTGGAGCCTCAGGCATTCTCAGTACTATCCTTTAGGATTAAAATAATGAGTGAAAGTCGAAATAAATTGTGTGAAATTAATGACGGTGGTCTACCTCACAATTTTCGTAATGAAGTCACGCAACCAACTCTGATTCACCTTATTAAAAAACGATTATTCAAGTAAGAAGTTCGCTTTTTTTCCTTTTTGGTAGGTGGTTTTAACTTTGAAGACGAGGCAGCCCCTTGGAGGCACTTTCTTCTATGAGAGAGAGGAAAAGGGAAAAAAAATAATACATGGTGGCAGCACATATAGGTAGGAAGTCAGAAGCGCTCAATGATAGTAAACTAGGCATGATTTTGCGTTGACAACTAAATGATACGCAGAACTTTCGCTTCAGCAAATAAAGATGCTAATTTCGAAGTGGTTTCCTGCCTCAAACTGACAGGATCGTTTGCCAGCTGCACCCAGTTCACTGTTCTTCCTGAACTCAGTGAAGTTGGATCGAGTAGGTGGAACTCAGTTGCAATTGTTTAGCCTTTAGCAGACAGCAGTGATTTGGTAATGAAATGATGTCTGCCTTGGAGATGTGAGGTGGATGACGCTAAGGTTCAAAGGCCAATTCTTAACCACCTGACTGCCACAGGGACGTTTTGAATTCGGCAAAATTAGCAAAGCCTTTCAAATGAGCAATAATGCTGGCTTTGTTAGGGGTTGGGAAACCATCGCAAGATAGGGTAGACTGACTGTCAAATTGGCGTCAAGCAGTGGCGACTAACGCAAACTCGAGATAGGCTTAGTAGCGGGAGCAGAAGCGAAACCAGTGCCTTATTCCATGACATGAAGGCATTAACTATGCTTTGAAGGCACCTTCCACTCCAGTTGTTCTTGCAGTGGAACACCCACCATCCATTAGTACCAGCTCTCCCCAGGAGAAGATGACGTTAAAGAGGGCAAGGTTAGAAGAAAGAAGTATTACTCATAAATGTGTTAAAGCGTTAGATTTGATCAGTATTATTAAGGACTAATATATCACTATCAGGGGTCTCCATGCAAAATTTTGTGTAGCCGTCGGCAGGTTAACGTCAATCGAGAGGGTAACTGGATCTCAACCACAAGTATATAGAGAAAACAACAGGTTCCAGACTGCCACTACTCTGTTTTCTACCCTCATTAATTGTAAAAATATGCTACTGTAAACTGGATTGTTTACTTACAGACTGACTTGAAATGAGAGATGGCTTTAGCACTTCAGGGTCAGAGGTAGAGCGAAAGAGTGAGCAAGTATATCATTGGTTATTCTCAAATGATTTACCTACCTCTCTACACTTCTAGAGTAAACACCAACATTTTTCATTTGCTAAAGATTAAGAACAAGTGACTTTAAGATCTGTTTCCTCAATACGACACGTCTGACATCTATTAAAAAGTGTTCAGAAAGGATGGCTTTTAGTGATTTCTTCGGTAAAGGGCAGTTTTGGAAAGAGATGGCCTCACAAGATAATGGGATATGGCATACCATCGCAGATCTGACTCGTTCGAGGACTCCACACCGGATTTGAGGATGCTTAGTATGGGGAGAGGGAGGTGCTGACTTGGTTCTTCATCAGCGTCAGCATCGTCGTCACCGACAGCCTCCATTTTCCCTGCATATTTGTCCGAGTGATGATCTTCCTTCTTTCTTGGTAAAAGCATCAGACTACGATCCCATGCGAATTAGAGTATCCAACGGGGAAACAAAAGTCAGATATAAACGAAGGTGGGTAAATCAAGTTTTTTTTTTTAAACTTTCTTACTCAATACCTACATCAAGCTAATTCCAGCACTTATCAGCTCTCTCTTATATCTTAACATAATACATCTCTTGTCGTTCTCCAAAGCAAATTTTATCCCAGCCTACATATCCAGTGAGCGAATAATCTTTCCGCTTGGTTTCATTTCCTGCCACTGCTGTGGATGGACATCATCCGTACATATTTTAGATTTTTAACAAGAATTTGGAAAGTGACTTCTTAAGGGACACCTCGGATTCGCTTTAAAGTGGTGTCGCTTCACAGAGCCGGAGGCTGGGATAGTTTTCAGAAGCCAGTATGACGTAAACCACTTGACTGTTTTGAGGTTCACTGGGATGGTGATGTGTTTGTTGTCCATTCAGCGTTGTTATGCAATCCAACAGCCTTTAATTGCTGCTTCTGCTGGGGTGGCGTCCGGGTACCCTCGAAGATTTTGCCAACCCTGCAAAAATGTTTCAGACAGTCAATTGAGATAGCAAACGAAATAATCGTAGACTAGAGGGCTTGTGTAAACAAAGACAGACGTTACACGGATTTCTTTTTCCAAAAGGTAGCCATTTAATAGTTACATCTTGGACTATGCTTGGCGAGATTAATGTTTCAACTAGCGTTGTGTCGCAGGGAGGTTAGTCAGTTACATGGAATATCAACTTCAGGACTTGCCACCGTAACTTTCGCGGTTTGATTACATTTCAGTGTTATTTGCGATCTTTTGCCCAATTCACGGATCTAAAAGTCCCCAGGTTGTACTGTCACCCTTCTTGATGACTTTTATACGTGGATAAGGAAACTGCTTCTACACTGGCATGAATTACTCTGACTTCTCAATGTCCTCGGAGTGGTGAAAACGACATGCCAGAACTAATCCCCTAATTCCTTTAACTGACCAATACACCTTAACGGCATAGAGGATGTCAGACGGCTGAATTTGCGGTGACTAAGGACAAAAGCGTTTGGCCCCTTCAAGATGGAACCTACGCAGACGGCTGGGTGCTGCCTAAGTGAATCAACGTAGGGCCTCGCCCAGTCCTGAACTGCCCGAGAATGTCCGAGTCGAATAGAATGAATGAGATTAAAGGGAGGGCCAAACCGAAGAGGATATCTATGCAGTGAGTTAAATGTTTGTTTAACTGTATGTTTAGTCTCGCGGGCTCTTCTGTCCGCATTACTTGCATTCCGTCTTGATGAATAGTTATCTGTCTCTTGCTTGGAGTCAGCCAGTAGTTCCTACATGTATAAAAGTGAATTTCTATAAGATGCAAGAGGTATAAGGGATCTTGACCACAAAAACTATGCCCTAATATTTTTCCATAAATCATCTTGAAGAGTGTCGTGATACATTCAAAGATCCCCGACCACTACTAAGTTTGTAAAGCTGAAAAAGAGGAAGCAAGTAATTAAGGTAAGCCTTAATCTCTTAGAAGGCTAAAAGTAACTACTTTAATAAAAAAAGAATATGGCCGTATAATCTTACTGCAGTATATTCAGGTAATCAAGGAGGTGCACGGTAAATGCGTGTTTGTCGTGCGTTGTGGACGAACACATCTATGAATATGTGGCATGGCCTTTTGATTTGTCCGTTTCTCTTGAAAAAGTTGTAAATCATTCTACATAAAAATGGCAATTTTCTGAAGTCAACGGATTTTTCTCAGGCTCAAAACAAGGGAGTCATTCCATTAGTGGGATGAAAATTTAAACACAATTCGCAAACTCTTGAGTTCCCAACGTATTACGCTTGCAGATAATTTTGAGGACTTTTTTCCGCTTTCTTATGTTTTTTTCAGTTTCAGGGTAAATGTTGGTAGAAATTTTATAGAGTAGATTTTCAAGAATATTTCGGCCACTGACTGAATGGGTGCCATTGAAGGGCATAAAGTTGGACTTAAAAAGTTTATGATGGATTTTCCTTCACCATCTAAGGAAATAGCCGAAGGTTTAAATGATTTTAGTGGTTTTAATGTCATTTTTTATTTAGTTTCTTACTACAAGCTGATCTAAATGTAACGAACCTGACAGGTGGTTGCAAAGCCGTACACCAGTGGTAGAGAAGGGCTGAAAGACACGAATTGTGTAACTAAAAACAGCTTAATTCAAAATTCACTTCTTTGGAGGTAGTTGCACTTTTGACTCACTAGAATTTCCTGTTTTCTCTCCTTTATTTTTTGTCTCACAACTCGCACTTTTTATCCAATTCGTCCGATTGGTCGATATCACCTATAGAGCAGGCCAAGGTCAAAATTATTTGAAATACCGTAAATGGTCGGGAACGGAACCATCCGGTGTCTTCGGTAGTCAGTCGGCGGTCATGTGTGCACAAGCCGTAACCCTAGCCTTACCCACATTCACCGAAAAATAAAGACGTTTGTGTCGAAAACTTTGTCCCCTCTCTACTCGAGTTGAGCACTCAATGAAATCCAAGCGCGTCCGCTTAGATACCAGCCCATAACGATATCGCTGTACCATTTCCCATATTTATCCATCAATTGCTGAATTTAATGTGTCAGAATTTTATCAACTCTCATACTTTTAATTGATAAATTCAACTACTGCTAAGGGACCATCGAGGACTGATTGGCTTCCTACCTACCAATCGTATTTGCCAGTGGACTGTTGACCAGTCAAAACGCATCACTGCTGACCTTTTAAGTCACCCCTCAAAGAGGGGAGGAAGTAATGAGTCGACGGGGAACAATGAATTCAAGTCCCTCCAATTCTCCTCAATTACGATTAGTTCGTTTTTCCCAACTCGCCAATCAAAATGTTCAATTCACCTTCCTCCTACCCGCCTGTCTGGTTCGCGGGTTTATCAGCGAACTGGGCTCCGCCACCTTCGAATATGGCAATCACATATGGCGTCTGAAAATAGTGCGTTCTTCACTTCATATAGGCGCCTATCTGGAACTGGTTATACCCAATAGAGCGATGGTTGGCACCTCCTCATGTGACTTTTCACTTTGGTTGGATTTCATCTTTACCGTGGTTAATTTGAAGCACTTCTCGGACAATCAGACCTTCACAGAAAAGCAGGTCTTATTTAATCGCGATAACATGAGTCGAGGAAGCAGTTGTCTTATTGAGGCAACAACAGTATATGAAAGAAACTTTGTCTGCGAAGACGGACGCCTACTGATTGAAGTGGAGTTGGCCAACGCAGCTGTTAGTTTAACCCTACTACTGAGTCCGGGCAGGAAAAATCATCTTGAATCTTTAAGTTTTGCATTTGGTGGAGAAGTGTGGAAAGTTGGAATGGTTGTTAACTGGAAGAATCAGACTTTAATGAACCTCTTTTGTCAATCCTCGCATCAAACCCTGGGGTATATGGTCTCCTTTGAGCTGTTAATCAACTACGCTTTTGAAGTTGGTCATCGAGTCGAGTTATTAGTGCGCCACGGTGGCGGCCAAATCGAACTGCCCAAAGACTTGAACACTCAAATTCTTTCAATTCTGTCAAAATCTTTTAATCGACAAGTGACGTTTGTCTGTTTAAGAAATATTCGCCTGCATAGATTCAGTCTTTTTAGTCTACCCAAAGAAGTGGTAGAGGAACCCTTCCTCCTAAAGTATGCCGAAGATGCAGGTGGCGTTTCATGGATTGTCACATTTTCCGTTTTAAGTGAATGCCTCTACATCCGTCTGATGCCACAGGAAATGACGAATCCCATAGCATCACCCGAATCAATCCGTGTAATTGGATGGAGTTGGTGTTTTCGAAATGATCCTGTGGAAAGTGGTGGAATGGTACGGCAAATCTACGTTTGTCACCAGAAACCAACGTCTCGACATTGTTTTCAAACCGGCTCTGCTGTTTCCTCAGAAGTATTAAAACAGATGGAGAGCCTCAATAGCCAATTACAAAGGAACACGAGGGAGGAGGAGAAGAGTGAATGCCCTGATTTCACATTTCCCGGGGGACCAAATTTGAAGGTCAGTGCTTTCATGTGTTACCAACTTATGCTTGTTAGTCGGTGACAATTAAGAATGACTCCTCAATTTATTCCTCTTGTTTTCACAAAACTTCTCCTTTGTTTTTCAGGGGCTGAAAAAAATAGGTATATAGCCATAAAGATAGTTCCATCTAATCCGGTTATATCCAGATGACGCCTTCCTTTGTCCATCCCAAAAATTGACTATCAAGGAAATTTTTTTCACAATTTTACTGACTAACAGTAGACGCGAAAGATTTTTAAGTTGTCTTCTTTGTATTTTGACATCTTCTGTGAAATTTTCTGCAAGCGTCCTTCGATCCTGGTCAGCAGTGATCCATTCCATCGTGGCGTACGAACTCAACAGTTAGCGGCTGAGCATTGAATCGCTGATTCAGCACGACTGTGCAAAATGAATGTTGACTTCACGACTCCAGAAGTTGTGAAGTCTCGTTTTGTTGTCGAAGATCTAATTATGTAGAGTGGGTTGCTTTTAGGGTCTGCTAGAAGGTTGGTGGCTAATGATGACGACATTTAAGAGTCGTTTAAATCATCTGGAAGTGTTTTATGACATTCCGCACAAAACCTTTAAGTAGGGAGAAAATAACTTGGGCGCATTTGCTCCCTCTGTATTACCAGCTTTCCAGCACCTTTCAAAGGCATCATCCCTGCTACATGACGGCATAGCATTCAATTCGCTTATCCTTTCCCTGCGGTATATCACATAGATTTGATGATTCTACTTATTTAGAGGGATTTATGAAAAGGAATAAGAAATTTTAGACCTAGCTACTTTTATTTTTGCCCCACTATTATCTCCTGACTGTGTTTTATGCTGCGTGTGGTCGTATGATGGCTTGATGCTGAAGCCAAGAAAAGGGTGATAATCACGATCTGGAGCAATACGGAAAGAATAGAATGGATAAGAATGGGATAAGCTAGTATCTTCCTCTCTTTTTACAACGACCAGGCTTAGGACTTCTAACTTAAAAAATGAGGTCATCAATCGGTTGAACGTGATGCGAACTATTCTGCTTCGGTTTCAAATATGTAGAAGCTACTTGACGACTTCGCATCTGGAGGAGGTCCTGTGGCAAGGATTTTAAGCATACGAAATAGCGGTGGTGCTAAATCGCCCACAAATTAATGAAATATCTTCACAGAGCTTCTCTGTTCCTGATCACGCAAAATTGCGTGTCACCACAGGGACACCAAGGGAGAAGAAAAAGCCATAGAATCAAACTAAGTGGATCGTCTTCACTTGTATTGACAGAAAGAACTCCCAAGTTGTTCTCCACCTCTTTCATGCACTTTGTTAGTTTGATTGCTTGTTATCCGACTAATTTACTGACTTGTAGTGGGAAATATCTCCCATCTTTCAACGTCATATGAACAAAGACATCCCTGGTTGTCACCACACGATCCACTACTCCACTTCTAAGGCAATCTTTACTTCGAATACAGAAATCTATACTTCCCATGTGCGTGGTACACAGGTTGCGGAAACTAAATAGTTCTAGTTGGGATCTCTCTCTCTTCGTTACATTTGTTTTACTCCACCTTCTTCTATTTGAGAAACAAGTAGAACTAGTGAATTGGTAGGAAGAAAATGTTATTCCTTTAAAACAGCATAAAACTTCATACCGTTGAGAAACTAACTCTTTGAAAGCCTTTCCCTTTAGAATGAGGGCTGAAGAAGTTACGAACATCACATTTTCTTGGCTTCAGCATTAGCCAATCACACGACCGCTTGACAAGTGGAATAGACGGCCAGAAGATAAAAGGGGGAAAGAAGCGGAGGTGGCTATGTCTAGATTATCTACTTTTATGGACAAATTGCTATAACAGATTGTAATTGTGGTCTTGTCGCGGATGTCACAGGAATTTGTATTTTTAGTTCTTTTTCCCTTTGTGATTATATGTAGGGGTTGCTCCCTTAATTCTGCTGCAATCATATATGCTTCTAGGTGATTAAATATTTAACCGACTTCTCAAAGTTCCGCAATGAATCATTTAAAAGGCATAAGTGTAGGGTATAATTTTGTTGTCCTTCGCCTTTGTTTTCGTTTAAAGGCGGTAAAAACCTGATCCAAATAGCTGGCTTTGTTGTTTTATTGGGAGAATGGGGATTAGAAGTCCATCAAAAATGTCCTTGTTTTATGCAAATAATACCAACCGTATATTTTCCTCGGCGCTTGTATTACCCACATATACTACTTCATCATTTGCCCACTCTTATTTAAGTAGTATGTTGCATGCTTTCAAGCTTATCAATCACAACTGAGAATGTGGGTCTTTCATACACTTCTTTTCTACATTTTACTCTTCTTTTACGCCTCCGTATTTAACTTCATGGAAGTTGGAAAAGTATTTGACACTGACTTATCCCACGCAAGTATCCTAACGCACGGAAAGGGAAGGGGTGATTGAAAAAAATAACTTGTTGAGGTTTATTAACTCAAGTAGTGGTTAGCTGAACACTCTCAAAAAAAGGCGTTTGGAAATTACTAAGTCTCCAAGTATTCCGGTATAGATGCTGGCTTTGTTAAAGCCACACAGAGGAATTTTGAATAATTAAATCGTCGATCCACGTATTTCAACGTTATTTCATGTCACATTCGTGCACCTGTCACAACTCTTAACTCACATTCAAAACTGAAGTGTATTACTCCGTTCCAAAGAAAGAATCACATCTGGTGGGATTTTACAACGGCATGAATGATCACAGGACTGACTGCTGCGCTGTAGGTTGGAAATCACCACGGTCGGCATCGTCACTGCACCTTGACATCATTCCACTTCTCACTGAACGAAACAGTCATCACAGTGCACCGTTTGGCATCTTCTGAAGCCACAAGTAGACATTCGCAAATGTGGATGCTATGCCTTCTTTGGCAATGCTAACTGCTGTAAGAGTCAACGGTGTCCGCAGTCTTTAACGCCTTGACTGTCATGCAACTGTCTCACCTCTAGACATTGGCAGATTCCTTTCAAATGGCTTGCTTAGTGAAAAAATGGTTTAAGAATTTTAATTACCGAAAACATTAGTTGAGCAGAAAAAGAACCAAATCCAGGAGGAAACAATTTACTTTTACCAAAAGAAGAAGTTTATCGTTCACGGGAATCAATTCTTTCCATTTCCACTCGGTTCACTTACGTCACTATGATCAGGTGCAGGGGAGCCCTTGCCAGAGCAGGCGTGTATGACAAAGTCTCGGCAATTGGGACCATTGCAAACACGTTTGCAAGATCCATCCGCACAGTCAAAACCATGGATTGGGCCGTCAAAGCATTCCGGAGTGTGGCACGGTCGAAAGTCGTAAAATTCTCCACAATGACCGCCTTGACAACCACCCCAATAGCCACAATTGCCACCATTGCAACGATCGAGGGGCTGACTGCCACCCATACCAGGGAAGCTCGGACTGGTATAAGGTGAGGCCCTAAGAGGACTCTGCATGGACATTCCACGTGAAACAGGAGAAATTAGACCTCTGTGGGGCATCGCAGCGGGACCCATTCCCCCCCGGAAGGCGAGTGGACCAAATGGAGGGGCGTTGAAGCCCATTCCACTTCTGTGTCCACCGACTGCACCACCAAGACCACCAGGGTACATGGCTACTCCGAAACCAGGCATCACGTAGCAGGTCAAGACGGACAGCAGCGCTAATGACAACATTACGTATATTCTGGTTGCCTTCATCTACGTGTTGGATCCGCTGACACCAGCTTCCATGTATTTATACATGGTAGTGTCCCTGAAGATAGGGGGGGGGGGGGGGAGGAACGGAAGGGCGTACAAAGAATGAACTACGTAGTTAATTAGATTACAATCAACCAAACCAGTGCAATGAAATTGAGGTCAAGTGAGTTCGCTCAATCAATATCACCGATTATGCCACGTGGAAGACTTGCAAACGTCGAAGACATCTCTAATGCTCCTTTCACTCGCTTCCCATGAACTGCCTATCACTGCGTTGACAAAAGGCTGCAACAACACTGTGTGGATCAGTTTGATGATCCATCATTGATGGAGTTAAGGAAGGCAGTAATGTGACTCATTTCCCAACTTAATAAAAGGGATGCAACAATGGCAGGAAAATGACCTTGAACCTGCCCTAAGCATATAATTGGTGTAGTCCGCAGGCGTAGGAAGTGTCCAAATCCGCAGTCCTCGATCCATTCTAGAGGAGCTATGTCAATTAACGCACTTGACGATCTTTTAAGCATACTCTTTTAGCGACTGATTTGGTCGTTTTTTGGGAAAAAAATACACTTTCGTCTTTGCTAGTTCGGGGGATTCATTTAATTGCTGTGTTTATGTCAAGCTCCTCTCTATACTTTAATAATGCAGACGTCGCGCCGACTTTGTTTTTTTTAACCAAGTAGGTAATTTAAACGGTCAAAAATATTTAATTTAAGTCAAGTTTTTGCCTAACCCGTCTAAATTTAGGCTTTTAAGGTGCGCTTCTCGTCTTCTTTCGGTAGAATATACAGTTACTACAGGGTGACAAGTAAAGGAAACTTTTATCAGATGGGTGAAGTAGTTGTAGAAAATGGAAGCAATGCAAAAATGCACTAACGGGGGAGTAAATCTTTCTGGAACAACTTCCAAACGCATTCCACACATGCGTAAACGTACCCACACCAGCAGTGGAATTGGTCACCTCGGCCTCCATCTACCTGCTCACAAAATATGCTTATGAGAGAATCCTCTTTTTTTCCACGTTGAAACTATTAACTTGAAAGGTTCAAGGTGACACCCCTTCTATCAAGTTGCAGGATTTACCACATTACCAAATGGAAATAGTTACATGCTATACTCCGACACAACAACTAACTACACCTCTTCTCAAACCCATTGTTTCACGATTGACAGATCATCAAACTGATCCACATGAATTTGTTGCAATGATTGTGCAAGTGAAAAGGAGCATTAGTGACGTCTCCGAGGGTTGTAAGTCTTCCACGTGGCATAATCGGTGCCATTTATCCAGTGAACTCATTTGACCTTAATTGCAGTGTACTGACGTGATTTATTGAAATCTAATTAACTACGCAGTTAATGCTCTCCACGGTCTCCCTTCCTCCCTCGTTCCCCCCCCCCCCCCTCCATCATCCGGGGCCCTCACATGTACCCATGCGTGCATGCGTGTGTGTATAAATGCATCCAAACTGGTGTCCACAGAACCAGAACGTGAATGAAAGGAACCAGAATACACGGTATGTTGTCATTAGTGCTGCTGTCCATCTTGAGCCTTTACGCAATGCATGGTTTTGGGGCGGCCGTCTACCCTAGTGGATACAGAAGTGGAATGGGCTACAACCCTCGTCCATTTGGTCAACACGACTACCGAGGTGGAATGGCTCCCAGTGCAGTATCCTACGGAGGTTACATGCCTCCTCCCTCACACGGAATGCCCATGCAGAATGGTTTCGGCAGATATCCATTTTACGGACCTCATGGCACCCTACCCTATGGCAGTCCGGGCTTCCCCGGTATGGGTGGCAGTCACCCCTTTGATCGTTGCAATGGTGGCAACTGTGGCTATTGGGGCGGCTGTCAAGGGGGTCATTGTGGAGAATTTTACGACTTTCGACCCTGCCACACTCCGGAATGCTTTGATGGCCCAATCCACGGTTTTGACTGCATAGGCGGATATTGTGGACGGGTTTGCAATGGCGCCACTTGTCGAGACTTTGCCAAACAGCCCTGCCCTGGCAAGAGCTCCCCTGAACCTGAGGATAAGGAAAATGCCAAAAAGGAGACTTAGATCGGAATCGCTGAAGTTAAATTTTCATTTGCTCTTACTTCTTTCTCACTATTAAATAAATGTATCATCAATTCTGTCAGGTTTTTTTGTTTAAACCATTTCTGAGGTAAATGTAGCGGAAGACAAATTTAGTCTCCTGTGGTTGGTTGACTTACTTTGTCTTTTTTGGTACAATCCCTGCTTTTATTAATACCCATCCGAATCAGTCGCATTGTTTGGGAACGACAACTCGACTGCCTGCTCTTTAACACTCTCAGTATCACTGCAGGCGAAAGAATCTTCTTTACCCCAAATTTTTTTTATCTAGAAGGGTACTTTGTTTACTAGTAATTATTAATTTAGCCAAGGAAGAGGTAAGAAAAGATTAAATACATAATAAATCACCACTTTACATTTGGGTAAATTGGGCATACTTGCAACAGCCCCTACGGCTTCTATGACGTTCCTCGGGATTCGAAATTCAAGGCGTTCCATGGGTAGATGCATTTGAAGCTCCTCGACACTTCCCTAAAGACGAAGTAAGATATAATACTCGGATAGAGTATGTACTGTTGACGCACAGAAGGACTGCAAGGGGGGAAGATGAAGTGGCGCAGAGGTCACGTCGCCCGACAGGGGTACAATGGCGGCGCCCCTCAGTGGCCCGTCACCAAAACGTTTAGGCTGTTCCGCCATAACCTCTTTTTGTCTCTCGGTTGCACAGATCCCACTGAGGGAAATGAATAAACCGGGACCACTGGAAGTTCTCCTCTTTTGGCATTACGATCACCTTCTTCACTTTGAAAACTTCAACAAAGTTGATGTGGTAACATACAAACAAATGCATCAAATGAGGTGAGTTTGAAGAAGCCCAGGGAATGATTAGTGCCCCTCCATTTATGTCTCCACAAACGTACACACACCACTCATGCGATGAGGATTTCAAATGTTAGAGGCTAGATTTTAAATGCCCATTTTTATGCTCAGTGGTAAAAAATTACATTCGTTTTTATTTTTAGGAAGGAGATTAAACTGCTTCGTCAGGAGAATGATTACCTCCAGATTAAGCTAAAAAATGTTTAAGAAATACGGTGGTTGTGATGTTGCATCAGTGATTTGTTGTTTCCACTGTCAGAATCCTTACAGCCTTCGCATTTTTCAAATAAAATGTTTCACCAGTGCCAGCTTAACTGATCCCATGGGTTTTGTGTGGGTGTAGCATTGCCAGAGATTTGTTTATTTTTCTGAGGTTAAAGTAATGCCATTTAAAGGAACAAGACGCTGATTGACTTTTGGCAAGGTTATGAATAATTTCACAATTTTCTTTTGAGTCAATGCAGAATAAACTTCAGTCTCACTTCATTAAAAGGCACAATAGGTGATTTTGACGAATTATTGCAGTATCAGAGTATTCCCTGAAATTGGTTGTGTACCAGGTCTACTTTCCACGAGATGCCACAATATTCATTGTCTTGTATGAAAATAAGTTTGTATCCTGAGGCCGTTTCTGGCTAATCTAAATAAATAATTTTTTGCATAAAATCTCAAAATACATAGATGATGAATGATTTTTGCACAGGTGATACAATTATAACTCAAACACGTGATTAATTATTAACCATCGGATTTGTTTATCTAAGTCGTTTAATGTTTGGTACTATTAGGGGCCTTTGGTATCACGTGGATACGTAAATTCTACGCTTCTGACTTCGCGTCCAATGAAGCCAGTGTGGGAAATATTTGATTTTAACTTCCATAAATTTTATGAATTCGTGTCGTCAGAAATACAACCAGTTTTGGTCGCAGATGGGAAGCGTTTTATTAGCATTCCAGTAAATCTTCTATTTACTCTCTCCAGATGGCGCTAAGTTTCCTCTTTTTTATCCTTTATGCTGAAATTGTAGAAGAATATTCCAGTGGAAATGACAGGAATTTGAAAATTAAAAGTACATCAGTCGGGCCTATGAGACCGAATTTGATTTATAACCCACCTTAATTCCGTGTTTGAATGCGGTTAATTTCTGCGTCTCTGACTGTTTTTCCACTGACCTGCGCGACTTGGCCATGTAGGTTTTTTAGCACTCCCACTACAGCAGGAATCCTGCATTAATAATTTATGTTCTTATCGCATGCCCCCCAAAACACCTAAAATAATGAAGAAGCCACCCCACTTCGTGGTCTTCCTAGAATTGGAATCCCAGAGGGATTTTATAAATACACTTTAAAGATACAAGTGTAAAATAGGGAGGAAGCTGAAGGTCGCCTGACTGTGCATCATGTGTCTGTTTCATTGAACCCATTTAAATCACGAGCTGCCCAGTCCACCAAACCCCTTAGTCCTCTCAGCACAATTCCTTACCCAGGAAGATGATGTGTACCTAGCTTTAGCAAAGCATTAAGTCTTCTACAAATCGGCTTTATCTGTAAGCGAGCTTGCAACCCCACGATTAAGGACCTATAACCCAAAAACTTAATTATGCAAAAGCTCTCGTTGCCTTTTTCTGGCATTTAATAGCAGAGTCATATGCATAACCCCTAAACTTCTGTGAAGGCTGATGACAAATTTTTCATAATCGTGTGACATATCACGAATACGGGTTGACAACAAGAGTGATGCGGAAGAATATCACAAGAATTAAATAATGGCGCCACTTAGTGTACGAGATTGGGCTGTGATCTAACCCATAATTATCCCAAGTGGAAGCTGAATTAGATAGCCCTTTATGTGCAAGCAATGGCATGCACATCACATCAATTACCTAAAAGAACAGAAAGGGAGTTTGCCCACACTTAATAAAAAATGGTTAGTTGCAATATTTTTCCATAACATTTTCTTGAAAGGTAAGCACATTTTTAATTAAAGGTAGAAGATTCATAAAAAGGAGACGGATTATTTATCGGTTGTAGGGTTATTCCATCCACAGTTAAGTGAAAGCCAAATTAGGTATCGGCTATGTAACGGAACAGATTATGAAAACATTTAAGTCCAAAGGGAAATGACTCCAATTAAAAAAGAGAATCAGGAAACAGGGATGTTACAACAAAGCAAGTGTCACAATACGGAACAGCTGACTTCTCTAAATAAAATCTACCAACAATAACGCAAAAGTAGAGAAATGCACACAAGGCAAACACGGTTACAATTGTAATACTTATGTTGTTTGAATTGGCCTTTCAGGGAGGAGGCAAGCAGGAAATTCGAACCTGGTAACTGGATCGCCCTCTCCCTTACCTAGTGACTGCGGCTCCCCTCCTTCTTGAAT